TGTAATTATACCACCTGTAATTATACCACCTGTTTTTAAACTACCTGTTATTATACCACCTGTTTTTATACCACGTGTAATTATACCACATGTAATTATACCACATGTAATCATACCACGTGTAATTATACCACGTGTAATTATACCACATGTTATCATACCGCGTGTAATTATACCACCTGTTATCATACCACCTGTTGTTATACCACCTGTAATTATACCACCTGTTATCATACCACCTGTTATTATACCACCTGTTATCATACCACCTGTTATCATACCACGTGTAATTATACCACCTGCGGTATAACTTGATGTCCATACATCAGCTGACATTAATTCCCACATACTGTAGTAGAATGAGGTTAATTTAATAATATGGCCTTACTGTTTCTAATTATACACTTCAGGAAGCCAGATTGGAACAAATTTCCGAATGAAATGAGAACAGCTACAAGCATAACTTCTTTTAAATATTCCTTCAGTAGTCACCTTCGGGTACAAAGTTGTAGTTGTATCTCTAGCAAACGTTATTTTGTCAGTATACATATCTCTAGTATGTTATTTTGTCAGTATACATATCTCTAACATGTTATTTTGTCAGTATACATCTCTCTAGCGAAGGTTATTTTGTCAGTATACATCTCTCAAGCGAAGGTTATTTTGTCAGTATACATCTCTCAAGCGAAGGTTATTTTGTCGGTATACATATCTCTAGTATGTTATTTTGTCAGTGTACATATCTCTAGCAAACGTTATTTTGTCAGTATACATATCTCTAGCATGTTATTTTGTCAGTATACATATCTCTAGTATGTTATTTTGTCAGTATACATATCTCTAGCATGTTATTTTGTCAGTATACATATCTCTAGCATGTTATTTTGTCAGTATACATATCTCTAGTATGTTATTTTGTCAGTGTACATATCTCTAGCATGTTATTTTGTCAGTATACATCTCTCTAGCGAAGGTTATTTTGTCAGTATACATCTCTCAAGCGAAGGTTATTTTGTCGATATACATATCTCTAGCATGTTATTTTGTCGGTGTACATATCTCTAGCAAACGTTATTTTGTCAGTATACATATCTCTAGTATGTTATTTTGTCAGTGTACATATCTCTAGCATGTTATTTTGTCAGTATACATCTCTCTAGCGAAGGTTATTTTGTCAGTATACATATCTCTAGCATGTTATTTTGTCAGTATACATATCACTAGCGAAGGTTATTTTGCCATTATACATATCACTAGCGAAGGTTATTTTGTCAGTATACATCTCTCAAGCGAAGGTTATTTTGTCGGTATACATATCTCTAGTATGTTATTTTGTCAGTGTACATATCTCTAGCAAACGTTATTTTGTCAGTATACATATCTCTAGCATGTTATTTTGTCAGTATACATATCTCTAGTATGTTATTTTGTCAGTATACATATCTCTAGCATGTTATTTTGTCAGTATACATATCTCTAGCATGTTATTTTGTCAGTATACATATCTCTAGTATGTTATTTTGTCAGTGTACATATCTCTAGCATGTTATTTTGTCAGTATACATCTCTCTAGCGAAGGTTATTTTGTCAGTATACATCTCTCAAGCGAAGGTTATTTTGTCGATATACATATCTCTAGCATGTTATTTTGTCGGTGTACATATCTCTAGCAAACGTTATTTTGTCAGTATACATATCTCTAGTATGTTATTTTGTCAGTGTACATATCTCTAGCAAACGTTATTTTGTCAGTATACATCTCTCTAGCGAAGGTTATTTTGTCAGTATACATATCTCTAGCATGTTATTTTGTCAGTATACATATCTCTAGTATGTTATTTTGTCAGTGTACATATCTCTAGCATGTTATTTTGTCAGTATACATCTCTCTAGCGAAGGTTATTTTGTCAGTATACATCTCTCAAGCGAAGGTTATTTTGTCGGTATACATATCTCTAGCATGTTATTTTGTCGGTGTACATATCTCTAGCAAACGTTATTTTGTCAGTATACATATCTCTAGCAAACGTTATTTTGTCAGTATACATATCTCTAGTATGTTATTTTGTCAGTGTACATATCTCTAGCATGTTATTTTGTCAGTATACATCTCTCTAGCGAAGGTTATTTTGTCAGTATACATCTCTCAAGCGAAGGTTATTTTGTCGGTATACATATCTCCAGCATGTTATTTTGTCAGTGTACATATCTCTAGCAAAGGTTATTTTGTCAGTATACATATCTCTAGCATGTTATTTTGTCAGTGTACATATCTCTAGTATGTTATTTTGTCAGTATACATATCTCTAGCAAACGTTATTTTGTCAGTATACATATCTCTAGTATGTTATTTTGTCAGTGTACATATCTCTAGCAAACGTTATTTTGTCAGTATACATATCACTAGCGAAGGTTATTTTGCCATTATACATATCTCTAGCAAAGGTTATTTTGTCAGTATACATATCTCTAGCAAAGGTTATTTTGTCAGTATACATATCACTAGCGAAGGTTATTTTGCCAGTATACATATCTCTAGCATGTTATTTTGTCAGTGTACATATCTCTAGCAAACGTTATTTTGTCAGTATACATATCTCTAGTATGTTATTTTGTCAGTGTACATATCTCTAGCAAACGTTATTTTGTCAGTATACATATCACTAGCGAAGGTTATTTTGCCATTATACATATCACTAGCGAAGGTTATTTTGTCAGTATACATATCTCTAGCAAAGGTTATTTTGTCAGTATACATATCTCTAGCAAAGGTTATTTTGTCAGTATACATATCACTAGCGAAGGTTATTTTGCCAGTATACATATCTCTAGCATGTTATTTTGTCAGTGTACATATCTCTAGCAAACGTTATTTTGTCAGTATACATATCTCTAGCAAACGTTATGTTGTCAAAATAGGCAATTTCTCTTGTACAGTTTTTTTAGTCAGTTCAGGAAGTTTCATGAAAAATAAAAAAGATTTCTTCAGCTCAAATTGATGTATTTATTATATCAACAAATCATAGACAAAATCTTTCCAGTGAAATCCTTTCTCACCTGTTTATCTAACATGTATCTTTCTATGTAGGTCAAGGTCTTCCACACCTTTTAATAAATTTACTTTTCGTTTCGTAGATCTTCAATCTTATGGTAAACTTGTAAAGGACTTTTTAAATTTATGAAATTAACAGGTCTTTATTGAAGCAGGCATAATTCAATAGTTCACTTGAACTACAGATTGTTGCTATAATATGACAAGAGATCCCAGTGGGATCTTGGCTTCCACCATTGTTTAATCTTTATTTGTTCTTTGAAAATTAGATATTTTCCCTTTTTTTCTGTTTTCACTCTTAATGATAAGAAATTTGAACATTTCCTTGCGGAATGGTGATATTAACCTTTAACTGCCAAATCCAAGATGGCCACCTGTTGGCCATTTTGTGTTTCAGATACAGAAAAGTCTTGCACTACTATGAACCAAGGAGAACCAATATAGGAAATTTGAGGGAGAAATAGCAATAACAAACTTTCAAAGTCAAAATCAATGATGACTGCCTGTCTGCCTTTTTTCCCCCTAATAAGTCCTAAAATCAAATTGACATAACAAGGGATCAAGGGGAACCTACAAATGAACTATGAGACTGATCTTTGATGCAGTTCTCAAGAAAGAGTGATGGCTGCCTGTTGGCCATTTTTGTCAGATAAATCTCGAAATTTAACTGGCACAACTAGGGACCAAGGGGAATATACATATGAAGTTTGAGAGTGATTCATCCAGTATTTCTCAAGAAACAGTAACAACAATCTTCATTGAAAAATTCTCAAATTGCCACCTGTCGGCCATCTTGTTTTACTGATCAGTCCCAAAATCAAGTGGGCACAACTATCGACCAAGAGGAATGTACATATGGAACAATTCAGTACTTCTATGAAAATAACGATAACAAACTCTTGTAATCAAAATCCAGATGATCATCTGATAATGGTGCACTACAAATGGAAAGATTGAAAAAAAAAAAAATCTCACAAAACGAAAACAAATCAGTTATTTTATTGCAGGAGTGAGCACCTTGTTTTCCTTAAAGTATAACCTACTACAAGTTATAGCTAAAAAAAAAAAAAAAAAAAAAAAAAAAAAAAAAAAAAAAAAAAAAAAAAATTAAAAAAAAAAAAAAAAAAAAAAATGGTTGATTCATATTAATACCAAGACATCAGGACAGGAATCACAGGTAAATCATGTGTAGTGTAAAATCAATCTTATTACACACAGTTAGTCTTGACCTCATAACAAAAAGAAGCTAAATTGTAATTATACTTAATTGGATGCAGCAATCTACCGTAAATACACTTAATTGGACAAAATCAAATTTATGTGTATTTTCATTTTTATTAGAGCAGTAATGAATTAGCACATCAATTATACTTTCTATATAAACAACTGACACAAAAATACACTTTAATAATTCTCTGAGCCACAACATAACTGCTATATAGTATGTACATTTACAGCATATCCAACACTAATGCTTTTTAACTTTTTCAACAATCACTGTATACAGACAACCAAGCAGGCCATGTAAACCTCATTTTATTATTAATTTTGAAATCAAGGCATCATGATTTAGCATAAGATGTAGTCTATCACATAGAAATTTCAATTTCAGCTGCTATTTCCAAAAACAGCTTGATAAACTTATCTTCAACATATAAGTGTTGCTTCCCGTCATGATTGAAATCCTGAGGAATTAAGACAACACTAAACAAATAATTATTTAATCACAGACAACAGCAACACACTCAATATGTCATACACCATACAGGTTATTTTTCCAAGGGTCATTTTTTTGCTATTTTAAACACGAAATGGAATCCTACCACCAAAAACACATACTTTGAAAATTTATAGTCTATTTTCTGACTAGTATCAAGATTTTGGAAAAATGTGAAAATTTGAACCATCAAATTTTAATTTCCAATACTTAATGAGAAAATTGCTTGAAATATTTTTCAAGTATCAACAGAAAAAGATAAAATTAATATCATGCAGAGAGAAAAGAGGAATATCCTTGGAATGAAGACTATCTGATATTTCACGAAATCCATTTAATTGGTCCATTTAAGAAGCGACCCGCTAATGAGATGCTGCCAAAGAACAAGTAAACAAATTGTTACACTTGGGTCCTAGTCTTTCCCTCTTAATGAATACCCTGAAATGAGAAATTACAGAATCATCACAGCATCATTCAAACAGTGTACTCATTTTTAAAAGAGATCCATAGAGTTGTTAAATACTCTTATCAGAAAGAGTTAAATCCTTATTGTCATATTTTATATAACAGAGTTGCATTCATACAGATGTGTTTTAAAATCATTCCTCTGACTTCATTTCTACTTCAACAGATAACAAATTAATTTGATATCAGACACAAGGATGTATGTAAACCAAATACAAAGCAAACAATACTATTTAATGCTTTAGAATATTATAAGAGAAGAATTCCTTCTTTTATTAAATTAAAAAACACCCAACTATTGCTGGTCTTACTTACTCCTGTCTGATTTAAAAGGTGTCTTGATAGAGGAAGATGTGGTCGATTTCCTAAAATAAACATGTGAAGATTTAGTATTAAAATAACATCTTCTTGTAATAAATTGAAATCCTTGCATCAATATGAAATGCCAAAGTATACGGAAGTGAATTAAACATACTGACTAACATAATGTTTACCATTAGATATAAGGTAAATTTTGGTTCCGAATCTCGGGACATATTTTAAATCACAAGAACCAGTTTATTGATAAGCAGAACCAAACGTGACCTTAACATAAAAGCTAACCTACCTCCTTGAGGACTGGGTCTGTGTTACCTGAAGTATAAGAAATGTTGTGATATGATAAAGAGAAACGTTAATTTATTTTGACATATGCTCTCAAACTCAAAGGTAAAACTGTTAAGATATTAGCAGTAAAAAATGACACGTTAGTCAATCTAGAAAATTGACCTCGCCTTTTTCTTAAAAGTTTTGATCCTCAAATAAGGACTATATTTTTTGTAACTATAATGAATTATTCTATCTTTAAACCTGAACCATGCACAAAAGGGGGGTGGGGGAAATCTGACATAACACAGGTTAAAAATGATAAAGATCCAACACACTATGTTCTTACCTTAATCGAGAATGAAACCTCAGAGTCTGTGTCTCTGTCCATCACCAAATTAGAATCCTCATTTATAGTCTGTAACTTTGAGTGACTTTGAGATTTGTTTCCTGAACTACTGACAAAGCTGACATCTGTATTTCCTGTCTGAGGTTGGCTTTCTTGACTGTCCACAGCAGAGTCTACATTACCAGAAACACTCTTTCTCAACCGTGTCACCATGGGAGAGTTACCAACATTAGAATTCTCCAATTCTTTCCGTTTTCTGGTAACCCTCAATGAATAGCGTTTCTCTGAATGTTCTGATGTACCTGGATTAGCAGCGGTCAGTTCTGACACAGTAGTATCAGCACTGACCATACTAGTATCAGCACTATTATTGGGAACAGACCTCCTTCTGCTTGTCCCACCTTGTACTGATACAGGAGAATTTTGTGATTTTAAAGATTTCTCTGGGGTGGTCTGAGGTGGAGTTTTGACCTTTCTTCCCGGTCTTGGAGTGTCAATATGTTCCTGTGTCGGTAAAGCCTGTTTAACATGTAAGGTTTTATTACAACTTGATCTGTTACATTCATTTACAAGAAAATTTAATATAGGAAAGTTCGCCTCAAATGTGTTTTCATCATCAGAATCATATGAATCTGAAATTACTTCTGTTTCGATTTTACCTAATACTTGTACATTTGATACATTATTTTTTACTGGCACGAACTCCGGACTAGTTACCTGTGGTGATGTCATTATCTGCCCTACCTTGGGAGTCCTAGAGGATCTCCTTGTTGGTAACATTATCTTATCATCTGAAGAGAAATCGGGCCATTCCACATTCATGCTCTGTTTCCTTGGTGATTGTGACTGTTCCACAGAAATGGGAGTTTTGTTAACTTTCTTGATGCTTTTAGGAGTCTTCTGACTTTCACTTCCAGGTGTTTTGAGCCTGTTGGATTCCATTCTTGGAGTCTTACACACATTAGATCCAGTTTTATGAGAATCAAACCCATTACATTCAGGGTTTGGTGCCTGCAGATTGTTTGATTCAGTTTTTGGAGTTTTCAGCATAGTTAATTCATTTTTAGGAGTTTTTGGTTTGATACTTTTGGGAGTCTTTAGCCTGTCAGTTTCAGTTGATTCAGTTTTTGGAGTTTTCAGCAGACTTAATTCATTTTTAGGAGTTCTTGGTTTGGTACTTTTGGGAGTCTTTAGCCTGTCCGTTTCAGTTTTCTGCCTTTTTTCCAATATTTTTTTAACGACTTCCTCATCTGAATTAAATTCATTAGTATCCTTTTTGTGCTTGGCATTAGTGGTGGCTTCAGCTTTCTCTTTCTTTTGACTAGGAGTCCTGGATTCTGTTCTATTCTCTGATGTAGTCCCTCGAGTCTTCCTATAAATACCTGCCTTTTCCCGTACTCTAGGTGAACACACATTTTCCTCTTTATCCTCTTCTTCATTCAAACCAATGGCATCTTCAAAAAGCCTTTTTTGAGGGGCAGCAGTAGCTGGTGTGGCAACTGACAAACATTTCTTGGTTGATGTGTTCTCAGATGTTCTGACAGAGGATGGTATTTGTTTTTCTGTTGATTTTTTTTTAGATGAACTGATTGATGCTCGTTCTTCAGGTGGGCTTTTTCTAGTCAAACAGATTTCTGATCGTTTCCTAGGCAAGTTTTTTCCAGTTGAAATGACTGATAACCGTTTTCCAGGTGAAGTTCTTCTAGGTGTGCTGACAAATGACTCTTTCTCAGGTGATAAGTTTGAGGATCTTGTCCTCTTTGAGAATTGTGTCTCTTTCTTTCCCTCCGTCTGATGGCTTTGTCCTGATGTATTTTGATGACTAGGTTCCTTTATATCTGTTGTTAGTGTTTTGGTAGTGATCTCTTGTCCTTCACTTGACCGAGACCTTTCTGATGTATCAAGAAAGTTTTTCTTTTGTCTTGTAGACCTCCCAGACACTGGTAGTTCTGGGCTTTTCATTCTCTTTTGGTTGGGTGTTGTAAGAGTAACCTCCCCTTCTTCTAAATCTTCTTCCTGCACCTCCCTAGGACTTTTATCTACAAAACATGCCAGCATTTCTTCTGTTCGCTCTTGATCAGTTTTCATATCAATATCACCATTATTATCCTCAACAATCACCTTGTCAGAATCATCTACCTCAACAATTACTTTGTCTGACTCATTGTTCATTTCTTCACCTTTCATGAAATCATTCTCATCAACACTGAGAATTTTTTCTTGTTTATCCCAGACATCTTTACCAGTATCAGAGATAACACCAGTAACATTTTCTTTAGCTGCCGTGATAGCTGCGTCCAGTTTCACTCCATTGACTTGATTTTCTTTGATGACATTCTTCACTTCTTCCTCTTTGTTTTCCTTGTCATTGTTGTTATTTTGGAATTCCATGTCAGATTCATCTTCCTGCATATCCCTTTTATCCGATTCATCTGCCTCAATTTCCAGGTCAGATATATCTTCCTCCATGTCCTTGATGTCCAGTTCATCTGCCTCAATTTCCAGGTCAGATATATCTTCCTCCATGTCCTTGATGTCCAGTTCATCTGCCTCAATTTCCTTCAGGAAAGATGCAAAAAGCAAAAGGAATTGAACAAAATATTGATTGTGTATCCCCTAATTTTATACTTCTATTAGCTACAGATCTGGCTTAAAATCCATGTCCTGTAACAAGCCAGCCCATTTTATGTTGTTGAATGGAATAATAACAAATGCCATAGTGTAATAAGAGCATGCTCTGACTTCCAGTCAGAAGGAATGAGTAGAAATCATGGGCTTTTTGCAGAATGAATACAGACAAATTTCAGTAGCTGCTACAGATCACCCTCCTTATCATTTCAGAGATAAAAATCTAAAAGTCTTACAAGGTTACTTGGCAATGACTTTCCTTTTGTGATGTGATCCCACTCAACATTTATAAAAATCTGAAGTAAACAAATTCTTTCCCAAAATTGAAAGACATGGTTTCCATGACAGTTGCCATAGCTGATGGCTACCTTAATGAACACCCAAAACAGGAACTACACACCACAGATCTTTTCCAGAGAAACACAAAACACATCAATTAGGAACCACACACCTCAGATCTTCTCCAGAGAAACACAAAACACCAAGTAGGAACCACACACCACAGATCTTCTCCAGAGAAACATAAAACACACCAATTAGGAACCACACATCTCAGATCTTCTCCAGAGAAACACAAAACATACCAAGTAGGAACCACACATCACAGATCTTCATCGCTTTCCAGTTCATGCTCTGCTTAATGAATTATCTTGGCCCCAATGATTCTAATGATACTGCATTGATTGAATGACAGAAATTTAAGGAATGACTTTTTTATGAAAATTTTACCTCTTCATCACTAGATTCCACAGGGTTTTTACTGAATGTGACTTGAGTAATTTCTAAAGAATCATCACTCTCTTCATCTTCTATAACCTTGTCCTGCCAGATCATAAAATACATATCAGTTAAAGACTATACTAGAAAGGTGAATATACAGCCTGCTACATAAACTACAGACGTTAGGAGTGTTACAGACATCAGTTATACCATTAGTTTTGTATAAAGAGAAGCTGTTTTCATTGCTGAGGTAAGTTTTTTATTCTAACCTTACCTCTCTTCCCTCCTACATCTTTTCCTCTAAGAATTACAGGTTTTGTTTAGAGGTATCACACACAGAATTTAATTGATAATATGCTAAAACAAGAAGCCCAGGTTCCTTAATGGGCATCTGACATAAAGTACAAGATTTCAAATTTTGAACTTGAGAAGAAGTCGAACACGTGTTTTTAAGATGGCGGCCATGTTGGATTTCGGACCAACCCAAAATTAACAAACTTTGGTCAGGATCATGTCACAATCATTTCAGGTAAGTTTCAGCTCAATGAGACATGTAGAACTTGAGAAGAAGTTGAAAATGTTTACAACGGACGATGGACAACGTATGACGGATACCGCTGGACAAAAGGCGATCGCAATAGGTCAGATGACCTAAAAATTAGGTAACTGAACCATAGAATTAATTTAATCTGAAGTCCTGGGGCAAAGTGGATGTTTTATTGGTATAGCCCTAACTTTCTTTAGACGGATGTTTGAGCTATCTGATACACTGATGTATAAAAGTGAGAAAAGATTGATACCTGACAAATCTGGGTAGTGTCTATTATGTACACTTCTGTCTCCTCATTCTCTCCTGGTTTGGTTGTAGCCTACAGAACAGAAACAGTTTCATATTCAATTTTATCTTCCTTTTCAAACAAAATAACGCTTTACGCCCATTAGAACATTTCAAAACAGACAAACCATAGTCAGGACAAGTGAACAAGATTCTTTATTGTCAGTCAAACCATAGTCAGGACAAGTGAACAAGATTCTCTATCATCAGTCAAACCAAAGTCATGACAAGTGAACAAGACTCTGATGTATAAAAGTGAGAAAAGATTGATACCTGACAAATCTGGGTAGTGTCTATTATGTACACTTCTGTCTCCTCATTCTCTCCTGGTTTGGTTGTAGCCTACAGAACAGAAACAGTTTCATATTCAATTTTATCTTCCTTTTTCAAACTAAATAAAGCTTTATGCCCATTAGAACATTTCCAAACAGACAAACCATAGTCAGGACAAGTGAACAAGATTCTTTATTGTCAGTCAAACCATAGTCAGGACAAGTGAACAAGATTCTCTATCATCAGTCAAACCATAGTCAGGACAAGTGAACAAGATTCTTTATTGTCAGTCAAACCATAGTCAGGACAAGTGAACAAGATTCTTTATTGTCAGTCAAACCACAGTCAGGACAAGTGAACAAGATTCTCTATCCTCAGTCAAACCATAGTCAGGACAAGTGAACAAGATTCTCTATCCTCAGTCAAACCATAGTCAGGACAAGTGAACAAGATTCTTTATTGTCAGTCAAACCATAGTCAGGACAAGTGAACAAGATTCTTTATTGTCAGTCAAACCATAGTCAGGACAAGTGAACAAGATTCTTTATTGTCAGTCAAACCATAGTCAGGACAAGTGAACAAGATTCTTTATTGTCAGTCAAACCATCAGGACAAGTGAACAAGATTCTCTATCCTCAGTCAAACCATAGTCAGGACAAGTGAACAAGACTCTACATCCTCAGTCAAACCATAGTCAGGACAAGTGAACAAGACTCTACATCCTCAGTCAAACCATAGTCAGGACAAGTGAACAAGATTCTTTATTGTCAGTCAAACCATAGTCAGGACAAGTGAACAAGATTCTCTATCCTCAGTCAAACCATAGTCAGGACAAGTGAACAAGATTCTTTATTGTCAGTCAAACCATAGTCAGGACAAGTGAACAAGACTCTACATCCTCAGTCAAACCATAGTCAGGACAAGTGAACAAGATTCTACATCATCAGTCAAACCATAGTCAGGACAAGTGAACAAGATTCTCTATCATCAGTCAAACCATAGTCAGGACAAGTGAACAAGATTCTCTATCATCAGTCAAACCATAGTCAGGACAAGTGAACAAGATTCTAGATCATCAGTCAAACCATAGTCAGGACAAGTGAACAAGATTCTAGATCATCAGTCAAACCATAGTCAGGACAAGTGAACAAGATTCTCTATCATCAGTCAAACCATAGTCAGGACAAGTGAACAAGATTCTTTATTGTCAGTCAAACCATAGTCAGGACAAGTGAACAAGATTCTTTATTGTCAGTCAAACCATAGTCAGGACAAGTGAACAAGACTCTTTATTGTCAAAAAGTTACCTCCAGTGATTCATGCTCCTTCTTCCCTGAAACTTGGTCCTCCATTTCTGCACCTGGTTCCTGAGAATTGTCTTGGACCTGAAGAATTGAGAAATAATTGTTGATATTGCAGTGGATATTCCAATAACAAGCATTTTAGGAATATTTCTGTATCAGCGATTCTTAGAATGTAGGATTCTTTATACTCAAAATTACATATAGATGTGAAAATATTTTCAATACAAACCTGTTTTGGTTTACTGCCAGCAGTATCCAAGAAGAACAACTGAGAATCCTGTTTACTCTCTAACCCAGTTTTCTACAAAATACAGGTTTTTTATATCAGTTTCAAACACCATAACATATTGTGAACTTCACTTTCAAAGGATGAATTGATGAAGAGGTTCCACAGGGCCTTGGCAGGCATTCCCAACTCAATGTTCTTCTGTATTATCTACAGTATCAAGGGCTTAACTGCTCAGACATCTCATGATAAATCTTAGGATCTAATATAGTGCCCGTCTCTTGCACTGCTCAAGCTCATAAGGATTGAGATGTTAATGAAGAAATCAACCTGTTACCCTAAAATATTCCTTTGACCATACTATCAAATCTACAATATATTTACCCCTTGAATTTCTTTCTTTTTCTTTTTTGGAATAGGATCCTCTGCTTCTTCATCCTGAACCTGAAGTATCAAAAAAAAATTCACGCTATCACTGAAGTTTTGCAATATAATCGGATTTGACTCTTAGAATGGGCTTCTGGGTTACACTCCAAAAAATATAATCCTATATAGGCAATGTCTTCCCATGATGTACCATCACAACCATCATACTAATTCTAATGTCCATATATGCAAAATTTGTGTGATGTTTTTTATGGTCAAGGTCAAAGATAAAACAGAGGTCACTGTAACCACATTTTAGTATGTGACCCACTTCCTTCAAATGTTGTAACTATTTCCCCGATTTCCCAAGTTTGATTTCCTTACATGAAACAGTGACTATGAAATGCTGCAGAAACCTGTATTGTTTTTTTCCTAGTAATTAGTCAACGTCAAATGTCAAATACAAAAAGTAGTGGTTGCAGTGGTCCCATTTCAGTACACAACTCAATGCATTTTTTCATCAACTCAAACCAATTTCCCAAGTTTGATATTCATATATAACAATGTTGCTCTGGAATTCTGGTTAACACCTGATTCAGGTAAAGCAGGGGTGTAAGAAGGCACTGAAAAGGACACAACAACCATACACTTGATTAAGTGTATCATCAGCACTTCATATTCCAATTCAGTCTACAGGCGAACTTTGTTATTTTGAAGTTGGTGAGACTGTTGGAAAACTTCAAGTTATGCGAGTAATTAATTTCTATCTTGGAGTACATTTTACAGAAATCATTTAATATCAAATAATGATTATGAAATTATTTGGATTTGGTTTGTTTAATACAGGTAAATGTAAATGGAGATATTGTACAAAGTAAAAGCATCGCATTACAAAAGTTCATTACTGAGGTTGACAATAATTAAGTCATTTCTCAATCTGTATATCACTGCGTATATCACATCTCATTTCATTGAAGGCACTTAATATCATCTATAAAATATAGTCACCTTTTGAGAATCTTTAATTTTCTTTTTCAATTTCTTTTTTGGAACAGGATCCTCCAATTCTGCTTCCAGTACCTGAAGCAGTGAGAAGAAACAATATTTGTGACATGGCTTTTGTTCAAGTGTAATCAGTGTTTATACCTGAAGCAGTGAGATAAAACAATGTTAATGATATGGCTTTTGGACACGTGAAATAAGTGATTAAAGCTCACCGGCAGTCATTGTAAAATGTATAATTAATGTATAAGTATGACATGTAGGAGGGGCATCGGATGTATACTAATGGACTTAGAAGTTTAAAAAAAAAACTAACCCAAAACTTTAAAGCCAGCTTTAAATGTGAAAAAGTTCAGCCCAAAACAGCATGAATTTTGTTTAAAAATAAGCATTAAAAGTCATACATAGATATTTAATGATTTTATCTATCTAACTAGAGGGACATCAGATGTACACAACTTATCCCAAAAGCTTGAAAAGGCTTCTAGTTGGATGTGAACACCTGGGGAACACCATAAGCTTATAGTTACTTGTAACTGGTGAGATATTGGTAATGACCATGAAGTGTGGTTACAGCAAGTTGTGTTCAATTCTGGGACTGATCAGAAAAACAAAATGGCCCACAGATGGCCATCTTGGATTTTGCCAAGTAGAGTTTGTTTTTGTTATACCAAACATTTTTATGGATGGACCAGGTACAAATGGCATTTTGAATAGCCCACCATCAGATGACAGTGGGCTTAAACATACTGGCATATCTAACATTACAATTTCTATAGCTAAATCAATTATTTTTCAATTTTTGTGAACAATTTATCTCATTCCTCTGATTATTTTTGTAAATTTCAGCCATCATTCGTGATTCATAGGGAGATATTTTTGCATTTCCTACTTGTTAAACCAAGACTTTTTCACAGATGAACATCTGTCCTAATGTCTCAAAACGAATATAAATCAAGGATTATCAGTAACACTTAACTATCGATGTATCCTTTTCCATACTTAACCTGGAAATTCATGTATTTGTCTGAATGTCTGAAAAATTTCGTCTGTTAACCCTCTTCCACTCAACAGAAACAGTTCTATCGTTGTTTGTTTTAGGGGTTCTTAGGTGATACGGCAGTTGTACATATTATGAATGTTGACAAGGTAGTGACTGGAAATTTTATGTTTTAATCCCAAATAGGAAAATAAAGGCTGAAATTGGGAATACAATGTATACAGTGTCCATTTATAACATACACAGTGATATCATGGTTAGGATATACCATACAGTATGGGCTGGACGGATATTGTAAGTTTCTAGTTTCTCAAAACAAGTCTACCTCCCTGGGAGAAGTGGGTACCAGAAACTTGGTATATCCATCCAGCCTATACGTCCAACATCTTATCGTACTGATGCATACAAGGGAGATACTCTTTAAAGAGAAAATATGTATAAGACATCAAAGCTGTGCCATGTGCAAAGCATAATCAGAACCAATGAATCAGGATTGTGTGCAACTTGTAAGTGCTCCAGCCAGCTATTGCGACACATACACATTGTCAGTGTGATTAGTAGAAAGCTCTACTTACCTCTCAAACAGTTGGTGTTTAAGTATTGGGTGTGTATTAGATCTACAGTTGTATGTTTAAGTCCCAAAACTAAAATAAATGTATAGGAACTCAACAAAGCTTTTAGTCAAGGCAAAAGTGGGGATAGAAGTGATTTAGCAAATAACTTTTTCACAAAATATTGTAAAAACCTACGTAATGTGTGCACCTATGTAATGTGCACAGGTCCGTTTTGGGGCTGAAAATAGTAAAAAATGCTTCTACTTGCTTTATGTGCACACCCAAAAAATCAAGACAAACTTTATCTCCAGGAGCAAAGATATTGATCTCAGAATGTTCAGCTAACACGTCAGGTGAACGATATACTGTCTAAAACTTCAGAAGTATCCTTTTCAAAATTTGCCTTCATCTCATTCACTGATTTTTAAATTGTCTTCTGATAAATTATAGGTACAATACAATTAAAGAAAAAAATGTCTGTGCACTTCTTCCTTTGACATCAGACACATTATTCATCACTTACCTATCCCATTAGCCCATACTTATTTATCTAACTTACACTTGTCTTCACACTAGCTCTAATCAACTGTGTTCAGTGTTGAAATCACCGATACAAGTCATTATTAATTATTAATGACCAAACAAGATAATAATGATCTCAGCGAGTCAAGTTTACTTTCCACTCACATAGTGTGTGCACCAGCTGACATAAATTGAGGCCCCAACTCTGTATATGCAAGCAATTGGTTATAGGAGAATGGAATGGAATTGCACAGTATGTACTCTAGCCATGTATATGTGTATTGTCAAAAGAAGAGTTATGTTTCACTACACATTTTGGTAAGATAATTGCATCAATAAAGCTAATGTTAAAAAATAATTGATCAAATCCACAGTCTGATGATAAAGTCTCAATCTACATTCCGCATACTGATATTTCAACACCACCTTTCCCAATTACACATGAAAACAGACACATGTTGATGATTTCTAGTTAGTACAGATTTTATCTGACATGAAGGGGAATAAAATTAAACATGCCAATTTTTTAAAAGTTGAACATGCAAGTGTTTAAAAAGATAATCATATTATAATCAACATATTTTCACAATGTCCGAAACAGGGCACTGTCTTTACTGATCGATAGTTTTTTGTCTTGGCAGTTGCGATCACATTTTCAAACAATTTGTACAGATTTTGTATTGTATTCACTCGGATAGTTTGCATTAATATACACAGTAATTATCTTATTTATTATTGATGTTCATCAATGAAAGGTCAAATTCTTTTTGTGTTAGTTTTGCGTACCAGATAATCCCAACAATCAGTGATGGTGGCCTCACAGAATCTTCGATTTTTTGATTAAAAAAAAATGAACCCTGAAAATCCTTTAGCTATGCAATGTGCACACACACACTTTGGACATTTATTTTCTCAAAAAAAAAAAAAAAAAAAGAAAAACAAAGCTGTTCACATTACGTGGGTTTTTATGGTAAATAAAGTAGAGTTTGAATTAGTCTGGTTTTCATTGTTTAGTAAACAGGACTGATATATGATTTCTGACTCGCCATAAGGGCACACTAAAGACTGTACCCAGAGTTTCAGATATTCTGTAACAGTGATCAAAACTAATCACAAGTATTAAAGATTCTCAGTGTCACCTTTCTTACCTGCTTACTACCACCTGTGTCCAGGAAGAACAACCCAGAGTCTGGTGTACTCTCCTGATCCATAGCCTACAAAACAAAGACCTTTTTGTTATGTTTGATGATATACTTTAGCAATATATGTAGAGACCATGTCATTCTTTTCGATCTGAGGGCCTGCTTTTTATTGCCTTGTTGGGAAAGTCAAATATGTTCAAATTTTTTAAATCCTGTTGTATGTTTTTATGGCAACAAAGTTCTGTCCAGTTTCAGATAAAGATTAAATCTTTCTGTAAAGGCTGAATCTTATCCAACTATATCTTAATTTCCTTCAACTTGGCTTTGAAATTTGAATTCACTCTCTCAGACTTCTTCTAAGTACAGATGCAGGTCATAGTTCAGACACCATTTTTTAAAGCAATACTTCCTTAATACAGTATCTTTATACTTTTAATCATTAAATAGCCTTGTGAAGATGAAATTTCAATCATTTATAAAATCAGAAGTGTGGTAATGTTTTATTCAAAGACCATTATCTGACATAAATAGTCAGATATTTACCTCTTTCAATCCTTTTCTTTTCTTTTTCAGTGATATTTCTTTCTTTTTTGAAACCTTATTTTCTAATTCTGTACTTTGATTCTGAAATATTAAGGATTCCATCAGAACATCCCTAATAGTTGTAGGAAACTTTCATGGTCATATACAATGAAACACGAAGAAATCAGAAGATTTTGATTAAATATTTTTAAAATTTCTGTGGGCTATTTATTATCATTATGTTTTTAGTTATAATTAATCCACAAATTTAATTTGTCCACAAAATAAAAACCAGATGTTGATTTGATGAGTAAGATTTACACACAAAATCAAAGACCAAAAAAATGCTAATGTTTATAAAACCACAAAATTTGAGCTCAATGAAAATTTATGAGTTTACGCTACTACAACAGATATAAGACAGCAGGGCTCTCACACCCCATTTTGGGACTGGGGCCTGGGGCCCTTAAATTGGAAAAAAACAGCGACATTTTCCTTAGAATTGGGAAAACTTGGGGTCTAAATTGGGAAAAAAAGATACTATTTTGCTTTGGGAATATTCGGCCCCAATTCTGGCAGATCGAGAGCCCTGAATAGATACTCCATGCCCTTATGATTTAATACTTTTGGATACATAAGAAATGACTTTGCCAGAAATGGAAACATTTTTGCTCTTTCATTCATTAATGATAATAAATGTATCGCTAAATAATGTAATCTGTATTTACTCATAATACATTGATATTCTGTGATGAAACATTACAATGAATTATAGTGATCTGTATGAGACTGGGATGTCTTTTTTTAATCTATGACATATTATGGAATATAATGGAATATGGGATACCATGGTTTATAAAGTTTTATTTTTATGAACTTTTATAAAGTGATGATTCTCTGACATTACAGCAATACTTACCTGTTTACTACCACCTGTATCTAGAAAGAACAACTCAGCGTCTGGTGTACTTTCTTCATCCACCATCTACAAGAAACAGATACATAATCCTTGGGTCATTCCAACAAAAGCAACAAGAAGGGCACGGGTTTATTTCGTCTTCTTCTTCAAATCATGATCTTATAGCCAGACTTTTTTACAATTAATTACAGGTTTTAATCTATACTAGGCACTATTTCAGAGCGGTACAATGTACGCAGAATTTGATTTTATAAACCAGAAGGCATTATACAGGAGACATTTTTGCTCTTATGTTGGTTTCTGTTGATGTTATATGAACCTAAGTTGGCTAACCACTCTCCTATCAGTAGATTAATATCTTATTCTCAGATTTACTTAAAACAAAATTTTAAACTGGTAGGCCAATAGTATATTTTATTTTCTTCTACAGCTAGTTGTAGATCTAAACTTTTCATTTTACAGTAATTGAAAAACGAGCTATTAGTTCATATTAATCACTCTTGTTGGCCCTAATGGAAGTGGTGAGGGGTCATGCTACAGGAGGAGACAGAAGTACCCAAGTGAAAACCAACATGGTCAGGTAGGTCACCACATCCACTCTGGGAATCAAACCCCAGATGTCTAGGGGAGTGCATTACTTGATTACTCACTTCTACAAAACTCAACAGGTTGTGGTTTTATCACATAAAGATATTGAAAATTAACACCAATCAGCAAATGAATACAAGACATCTATCTTTGCCTGTGTAAGAAATCTTCCTACAATTTCTTAACTGACACACAAAGGTGTATTGTAACTGTCTTCATGGCATTATTGCTGATATCTTACCTTACTGGACTCCAATTTTCTCTTCTTTTTCTTTGATTTTTTCTTTTCCTTCTTATCTTGTTCCTCTAGATCATTCTCTCCATCAAACTGTGTCAGGGTCTGAACAAAAATAGTTGACAAACTATTGGGGACATGACCTAACCTGACAGACATAGATAACACTATAGCCCTTCAACAAATGACCAAGACATAAAAGTGTCTAAACTTCATTTGCTTGTCCTTTAACATTTCAGCCATGTGATTAAGAAATAGGAATATAAACAAATGGAAAAGGATGAATCAGGAGAGGTTTGATAAGGAGACATATACTCACATCAGTCAGCCATGACAAAAGTTGATCGTCTGCCTCCTCCAGGATAAATCTAGTGACACTGGACCCCTTGAAGTGACGGTCTTCCACTGGCATTTCATCAAGGATGTCTTCATTTTTATTCCTCAACCAATCAAGGAAATGTTTAGGGGCAGGCACAGTCTTACAAGCCTAGAGTAGTCGAGATCAGTACTCTTAACATCTGATGGACTTTCATTTTTATAAATACAGAATTCATCACTCTATATAATTTGAATACTTTTTCAATAGTAAAAAAAAGGGTCTTCATGACGTTAGCTGTAGGCTAACTTTTGCTATGAAGGCTCTAATATGGCAAGATATTAATGTCTATCTCATATTTTCCTTCATTTCATTGATGCCAGACAGACAAGATGACAAATGACACACCACCGCATGAACTCATTTACCTTCATGAGCAGGTAAGACTTATAGGGAAAGGTGGATTTATAAAAAGGGGTAAATCAGTGTGCGAGAATTAGCAACCTTGCTATAGGCCATTAATTTACCTGGCGCCTTAGGCTGTCAACCTCGCTGTTTTCCTCCTTGTCCTCGGTAGTGTCACTGACAGTCCGCAGGGCCAACACATATTTTAAGTAGTGTTGAAAGTCACCAGTGCCAGGCTTCTTTTCAAATGCCCTCCTACCAATACAGAATGTCACATAAGTATGAGAGATGGACACTAATTATAAAGTCACTAGTACCAAGCTTCTTCTCAACACAGAATGTCATATGACAGATTAACACTAGTTATAAATGTGGAAACAGAGATCATCACTGCTAATTGTCTTAAATGTGACCAAAGTATCTTTAATATTTTTTAAGGATGTGATCTCCTTAAATGACTTATGAGGACTTGCTCTTTACTGTCATGTATACCAGTATACTAAATCCAGGGATTAGAATGTGTGGACAACAAGTAACATTTGCTGGTATTTCTGTTGAAAATGTAATAGATCTAAATGACGTTATGACCAGGCAATAGAAATATTCTTACTTTAGAGTTACCAGAAGTTAGTCTGTGTACATACCTTATAAAAGGTAGCAGTAGATTAGTGCTTGTGTGCACATTGGACATCTGTATGAAGGTGTCCAGTCGGAAGCTGGGATTGTCCTCTGTCAGGTAACAGGCAATATTACATAACCTTCTGGAAACCTGCTCCTGCTTGTGTGACATTCTATGAAAGACCACAGAGAAACTGTTTTTAGGGCTTTTTTTTTAATAGTTGTTGTTGAAATTAAAACATTAATCATAAACAGATTCAGATGAGATATAACCTGATAAAAATTTCTAAAGTTTTTTGTATATTTGTCTGTCAGTCTGCCTATCAGATATGCATTCAGGGCTCTCACACCCCATTTTGGGACTGGGGCCCGGGGCCCTTCGGATTGGGAAAAATAGCAGCATTTTCCTTAGAATTGGGAAAACTTGGGGTCTAAATTGGGAAAAAAAGATAACATTTTGCATTGGGAATGGGGCCGAATATTGGCCCTAAATCTGGCAGATCGAGAGCCCTGGCATTACTTCATAACAAGCAACTGTCTTCAAGGCAGCATGTAACAAACTATATTTTATCTTCAAAGGGTAAAAAATGTGAGATATAGAAAATGGAATCAAAATGTGATTACCTAGTACAAATATCTAGAGACTTGGAAAGGTGAAAGTAAAAGGTCACGCAGAATAGATGTTGCACATAAAAACTCGTAAGTCTATACATGGAACATTGTCATGCTCCAGAATATATGTCTACATCAGATATTGAAGGTCAGAAGAGTTAAGCTATGAATGGGAGAACGTCATAAAAGGATAAGAATTTTTCTAAATGTTTAGTATGTGACTTTAAAGCCTTTCTGTTGGGATGCTTTACATATATCTAAAGTCTGAAGTTCTTACAATAACAGTTGTAAAATAATGAAGAAATTTGTGTTCCTGAACATGAGGTCAAGGTCAAAGGTCAAGTAGAGTTGGTATGTTCTTGCTGGTGTGCTACAAGGAATTCTTTTGGTATGTTTAACTAGTCTCAATCAAAAGGACTATTTTTGGATTAAAATTAGAAATAATAGGACAACCTTTAAGGAAACAATTTACTGGATTTAATCAATGTTTTTCAATATGAATTTTCAATATAATTTTTAACGGAATTTTAATAATTTTCATTGTTCAACAGGCAACTTATGATAGGAAAACTTACTTGTTGGTTAGAAGATAAAGGTCAACGAACATGGCCAAATTGGAGGACAGAAGATCCCAATAGCTGTAAGGGTACACTGGAGCTTCAGGCTGTGGATAAAAACAATAAGTTTGGTAACAACTGGAATATAACGAGCTCAGGGAATTAACACTTAGATTCTCAAAAGAAAAGGTTTTACCTAGTAATGAGATAAAACATTTTAGACAGAAAACATGACATTGTATACCTTTTTGATGGTGGAATGACGAAGGTGACACATGGACAGGAAGTTCTTCACCTGATCACATAAAGTACGACACCTGGAAATAATAAAACAATTTTAGTCAGCATCAGTTTAACTTATAACTGAAAGTTAGTATCTCATACCCAATATGATCCTTTCATTTTCTATTCCATTAAAACATCTTCTCTCCATATCAGTAAAGTATTACTATCTGTTGAAGGATATCTATACATGGACATATTGGTCAGTTATAATAATGTAACTGTGAGACATTTGTTGGATATTGTTGGACAGGAATGTTTTATGTTTTGCTCATTAAATGGAATAGCTTAAGTAACTCCGAGGATTATTTTCACCAATCTGATTATCAAGTCATATCTGTAACTTATTAACTTACATCGCGACTTCTTCTGTTTTTCTGTTCCCTCCTGCATTACAAGCCTCATTCTGACCACTGAGGGTGTTGTCTGCCTTCGGCTGAATGATACTGAAGTTTACAAAATAACAAGTGTCAGCTATACAATAAACAACAGTGGCTCAACAATATATATCTAATCCATGCCAAAGAGAAATACATTATTGTACTGGCATGAAAAACTATACGGAAAAGAAAAATAATTGTTTGATGAAAATGCCACAAAGAAAGCTAATTTCACATTGTATCAAGTTAAAAAGAAATTGATTGAAAACTAAGGGAGAGGATCTTCAGAAAAGATAAAAAAGCTGAAAAGAACAAAAGGTAGTAACTTCTCCAAAACTTGTTGAATCAAACTGCTTTGGGGAAAACAGTGCTACATGTTTTGTTGATAAAGCTAAGCAAGCTTTTAAGACAGTTTTAAACAAGATCAAGACATTTCTAAAAATTATTACAAAATGCTGTTCAGAAACAGAATTTCTTGCCATGGTTATAAAGACAAGAAATTGTTAAAAATGTTCCAGTGAATGCAAGGATGGATGAAAAACACCATCATGTTACATAACATAATACGTCCCTTAAAAATTGGGACAAGACATAAGAAAATAAAAAATTTAAGATATGGCAGAAGATGATTTGAATCCCTGTTTTACTGCAACTGTTAGCTGTAAGGAAGCAATTTTTAAGGTATTTAATCAATGACACAAAATCAACTGCCAATAAGGCAAGATTTCTCTAAAGAATCATTTGATGTGTGATCTGTTTATATCTTTCTGCTTAAGACAAATCATTAATGAGACAGCCATGTTAATCTTGAATCAAGTCCTGTAGACCAACACATAAATTTTGACTCAAATTGAGGGGGAATGAGCTTTTAACTCGACAATGATACAGATAGATAGACATGACCTAAGACTAAAAACGAAGAGAGATCCACAGTGTACTTACAGAAAGTAGAGATGCATCATCTTCAGAAGACTAAGGTAAGATGTTATTCCACAAGTCAGGTTAAGTAGCAAAGCCTCGCCCTTCTCCTCATCAATTTTCTGTAATGATAGCAGTTCAGTCATGACAAAATTGAACCGGAATTTCAGCCACTTTGTACAGACAGAGTATATATGAATACTGTCTTAATATCACAACAAAGCATTATCTCTCAAACCAAAATGTTATCATGACGACAGATTAAATTTCTACCCCTAAAAAAATATCTGACTCCCTTACAATCACATTTTAATAACAAAACAAATATCAGTATTTCACATAACCAGAAGTTATCAGAAAATCAGTTATCCATGCAGACATACAACTTACAGCCAGCAATTCAACTAATTTTTCCACAGGATCCACTTCAAGCTTCTTACACAGCAATGTTCCATCTATTCAAAATAAAACATCTTCTGTAAACTATCAGTGCCTTACACAGTGATCTGTTTAAATGACAGCTGGAACACAGGTATCGCGATCCAGTATGAATACTTGTTCCAAGATAATTTACATTCAATTTCATTCACATGAACTTTTTCCTGATTTGCGATCTGTTACAATATGCAAAAATAACTTTGCTAATTCTTTCAAAATTTCAATAAGGTGCTCAATTTCAATGGTCAATCTTTTCACCATCAGCATATAACAATAAAAAATGGTCAATCTTTTCACCACCAGCATATAACAATAAAAAATGGTCAATCTTTTCACCACCAGCATATAACAATAAAAAATGGTCAATCTTTTCACCACCAGCGTATAACAATAAAAAATGGTCAATCTTTTCACCACCAGCATATAACAATAAAAAATGGTCAATCTTTTCACCACCAGCATATAACAATAAAAAATATTCAGCCTTGTTATTTCTTTCTGATTCCCTGAACCTACAAATTACGAAATACAAGGGAGACAACTCACAACTCTTGCCTGATAAATTGAATCAGTTAATCAAGATGAAATTATTTATGAACAAATCATATCTAAATCTAGAATAATGAACTATGTTATACAGTGGTTGTGATTGGTTGTACTTTTCAGTTTCTGTGATTGTTTTGACACTTACATGTCTGTAGCTTCTGATCAGCATCAATGGTTCCAGTTACAGCTTGCTTCCTCTTTATGTACAGATTATATGGAAACTTATGTTTTTCGTTTAGTTCTACTACTTCTTTTGTTTTATCATGCCTGCAAATAAAGCTGCCAAAAAAAGAAAAATATCATACCAAAATTTCACTTTATAGACTATATCATTGTACCAATATCATAATTTAAGGATGACTAGATATGAAATCATCTAAATTGATGGGAATATTTACATAACAAATCATCTCACAATTGTTCCTTATTTTCAAAGACATGAGGATTATGAAACAATGATAATCTAAGATAGCAATTAATTCAGGGATTTTTTCCCTTGTTTGGGATGGGGGCATTTTTGTCTCATTTTGGGAAGACAATTGTTGAATTAGGAAAAAAACTTTCATGAAGTATTGTTAAGTTTGGAAATTTGGCTACATATTATTGGCCTGAAAAAACCCTCAAAAGATACTGGCAATTCTAATCATCATCTCTTCATATGTAATGTGATAAAGGAAGACAACTTACAATTTCAATTTCTTTACATAAAACCCAAATCTTTTGTTTATAGTTGTTTTTAATGGTCCCTCTGGTAAGCTGGCTACAGCATCTTTTAGTAATCTCCTGGGTTTGTGAACTTGGTTATCAGCATTGTCTGAAAAGAAAGGGTTTTGTTCATACTTAAAAATGTTTAATGACTGAAAAAAGATAATAATCACAGAAAAGATACAGACTCGGTACCTTACCATATGTACGTTCCATTTATATGCAACTTGTAAATACTAGCTGGTATATATTGGCCAGCTAAAGAAAATTCTCAACTTAGTCTGTTGAACTTTAAAATCAAACAAGCCCAAGGTCCTAGGTTAGAAGCAATGAAATAAATAACAATCTCTGGTAGCATATAGTAATTCACTTCTCTTGCTTCTGGTTTCCATCTTCATTATCTAAAGAGTTTAAATTTCTGAAGACTTTGGTTTTCATATAGGCCATTAATGCTTAATTTATGAAAGTTTCTCCACTGCAAAAACATTTGTTCCAGTTGACAATGTATGATGTTAAATATGACCCATTTACTCAGCTTGTGTTGATGAACTCCTTGCTCTTTATAAATCTAAACCTCTTATTTCACAAAATTTTCATGACCAGCACGAGGAGGTGGCTGCTATATCAACATTTTCATGAATTCAAAAGTTGTTTGTATTCAACTTTCAGTATTGACAAATATTAGGATTGAAACTTCATAACTTAAAGGCATAGAACTTATGCATATTAAGCATATATGTTGGTATGTGCTTCAGACTAATTTCCGCTCATGCATGGTATCATATCAGGATGCACTTGCGTCAGAGAATCTCTCCTTGACTAGTTGTTTTCCCATAATTTTTTTTTCCCACATGGGTTTTTGTCCGACACCCAAAAACAATATATCTGTTCTCTAAGCAGCGTCATAATAAAAGCTCTACATAGCCCGATGGGTTCTAGCTATTTATCTGCTATTTCTGGAAATAAAAAAGTCTGTATCAAAGGCACAAATTTTGGAGGACGAAATTTTCTCTTTGCTAACATTCAATTTCATATAATTTTTCCGATCATGATCACAACGGGGTTTCATCAGTTCTAATCGTTATTCGTCTATCAGATATTGGTAAAATTGCTATGAATTACAAACTGCCCTGCGCTTTGACAGCAGCTTCGACCATACCTAGTCTTATATTCTTTGCCACTTGAGCAAGACATTTCACAAACAGGTGTCTGGGGAGGATGGTCAAAATGTCTAATGTCCTGAACCTTAAGTTAACCAGAGGAAATTCAGGAGAACTTATCAATGTATCATGTGGTCAGAAAAAGATAAAGCATTGTCAACAGACTAACAGGTCCACAAAGTGGGGATCACTGGTTATGAAATAAATAGTACCATTAGCTCCTAAGTGCTTTGCCAGCAATTTAATGAACTTCTTGGGCTTAGCCTCCTCCATCCTGCAGTAGGCTCCACGTGCTAGTCTAACTGTCATGAAACGGTCGGTCTGATTGGTTAATTCGATGGGGAAACCTTTTTCATCGAACCAATCAGTCATTCGTTAACATTATCGGGGATGCCCTTCAATAATAATTGATTTACCTCATTTCATTCATAATCTTAAGCAAATGTCCATCAAAATATTCAGCAGTCGACCCCTTCTTACTAATGAAAATGAAAATATTGAACAAAAACTGCAAATTTCGAATCATTGAATTTTATACGAAACTAAAAAGACACGTTATTGTTGACTTTGCTTCAGTAAAGTTGCATTGTGGGATAGCAAAGAAATTTTGATGCTTTGGTAGTGGTTGCAATGTGAAGCACTCACAGTTTTGTGTCCCTCCATGTACAGGGAGGGAAACATATAGATTTCTCCATGTGCATTAATATACGATGATATATTTAAGTTGATTGTTGAGGAATTTGTTGCAATCACGCTTCTAAAGCCATGGAACACGATAGGAAAGGAAACACAAGTGAGAACCTTATTTATTGGAGCAATGTTTATGTTTAGAAGTGAAACTTCATGCTGATTCCACATATTTGCTAGAATTCCATATTTTGCTTGTGATAAACCTTAACTATCTAATTACTCTTTCTGTTCTAGGTTTCAATGGATTGTCCAGACACTTGGTGGATAGCCAGCATGAGAAAAAGAGGAGGAACTATAAGCTGATAGTGGATCCAATGTTGAGAGGGGGTGGACAAAAGTTGTATCGCTTTGAAGGATTGGATCCAATGGTAATAGTGGACAAAAAAGAAAAAAAAAGAATGACTAATAGTCGACATATCTCAAAAACCATGTAAAGGATTCGCTAACCAGCACAGTATTGATAAATTACTGCTTCATCATTGGGCCAAATCATGAATTACAACTCCGAGTCCAAATAAGTCTATCAAAATGATGTTGGATGCTTACAAGAAGACACCTTGGAACAGTTTAGGAGTAGGAGAACAGAATTTCTGTCACTACAGCAATCTGATATTGAGAAGCATATACTTATGTGTCTATAGAGACACCAGCAGAAGGAAAAAATTATTAACGAAAAGGCAGAGAAGCGAAATCTGCAGGTGCAGGGGCCTAAGATAAATTGACTCGATCATAAGACAATATTTGGTTTTATAAAATGGGAGATGTAGTGATACCTGTGACTGTATTTCAAATGTTATCACATTTTCGAATAATAGTGATATGTTTATATGCACCTATGGAACCTGGATTACCATAGTCATTATCTTCCTGATTAATGCATTCTATTAATTTTCTTTTCTTTTAGGAGTTATTTCCTGTATAATAAATTCTTCACTTTTATCATCAATAGTCACTAACATATCAGCAAGTAAACCATTATCAGATTTAACATTTTGTACATTAACAGCAACATATCAAAACAAATGTACATAGAGGTACAATCACAACACTTCCTGACGTCCCCAGTTATGGGAATTTTTACATTGTGGTTTTCATCAAGTAGAGGGATTCGTCATGGCTCAGATGAATATAGTCTAATGTAAATGAAACTATTCACCATGGATGTCAGATTGTGTTTGATTTCTCCACTATGGACATGTCATACATAGAGGTATTCACTCCTAGACGATAAATCTGGTACAACACTGTAAAAGAGCAAGGTGTAAGCTCCCCTGCTATAAACAAAACAGCATGAACTGAATTTGTTTTGTTGAAACGTTTTTGATTTAGTATTTAGTAAATGTAGTCAACAATGAGGACAGGAAAAAAGATTTCTTTGGTTTAACATTCAGCTTTAATATAATATAATAGCAAATAGGATAAAAAGTTAGCAGATTTTCGTTCTTTGTTTCAGGATAACCGACCTATTCATGTGCGAGATCCACGTTCCAGATTAACACGATTATGGACAAAGAAACTACCAGCAGACTTACCAATTCCAAGATTTAAGGTTATATTCTCAAAGAGGTTGTTTGTAGGATAGGGATGAAGTGAATATAAAGTGTGAACATTGAAATAATATAAAATTGAATAACAATCTAAGTATAAAAGATCTTTCATGTGTTTTTCATATGAGAATTTATGGGAAAAAAATCATAAAAAAAATCATTTTTTTATTTTATGTTATTTAGTTGTCATCTTTACTCTTTATCTTTAGTTGCTTTATGACTTCATAACATCTCTTAAGTTTATTTTCAAATTTTCTTTTACCACTCTTAACAAAATGATAACATTGTTGATGATATGATTTATTACAGCCCATCTTGTGACTTATTTTTGGTTGAACAGTGTTTCAAAACTGTTGATCTTTATTTATCAAATTTCAGTATGACGAACACTATGTCGGAGAACCACCACCAAATGAAGTGACATTTACAAACTTAAACGATAACATTAATCAAGATTTTCTTGAAAACATGGTGAAGGTGTATGGAAGTGTGGAGGAGGTCAAGATTTATTACAATCCAAAAAACAAGAAACATTTGGGTGTTGGCAAGGTATGAAAATATATAGATATTGTCAGTACAAGTGCAAAAATAAGCAATATTCATTGGAATCTTGATTCTGTCAAAATTGTAATTCAAATTCAGCATTGATTAATGAGGGTAATATGTATATATATATATGAAAGGCTTACATAGAGACCGCTGAGATTGTGTAGGGACAATAAGATCAGGTGTATTAAGATCATTAAGTGTTTTCTGCTTAATCAACAATACTATAAATCTGGTAAATTGGAGTAATGAGAATTACATAGATAACAACCAATTCAACAGGCATATTAATGTGCAGTGTACATATTGTAATTTATAACACATATGATAAGAATATATAGATCATGTTCTTAATCATTCTGCATCTTTTTTGTCAAACCATAAGTAATTATGTGCCAGAGTATTGCATGCTATGACCTGTTCAAAATAACATTGAAAAATGGAGCAATATTTGATGTAGTCTGATGTAGAAATGAAAAATAAATTATGGAATAAACTTGCTCAAAATTTTTTACTTGTAGGTAATGTTTTTGTCCTCGAAGTCAGCAAAGTTATGTGCAGATAAGCTCAATCATTCCTCTAAGATGGGCAATGTGATGACTGTGTTTGTTGATGCAGGAGGTATGTATTCTACCAATATTGATTCAATAACGGTTTGATTAATTGATAGTTGTTTAGTTGTTAGTACAGGTAATTTTAGTTATGTAGATATTATAGAAAGTCTTAATGTTATATATGTCTGTTAAATATAGTTATTAAATATTCATTTATTTTGCTGCTTGTAATTTCACTGTTTCAAGTCCTTACAAGAATATCAAATCTTAGCCATATGGTATTTTTGCCATTGAAGAGCTTACACTAAAAATAAATAAGGGACCTCTACCTGAATTGAAATGTTCAATATCTGCCATGTGATCTTGTGACAAAAAATAGTGAAAAGTAGACACTGGTTGAAAAAAACAAAGCAAGTTAGCAGTAGTTTAATGTTAAAATATTTCAGATGATATTAAAAAAAAATCATGGTTAAACAGGTAGTGTTTCTTCAGTGTCAGATATTTGTTTTCAAAATTCAAGGGATATTACTCAAACATAATAAATATAATAATATTAAAACGAGTTAAAGTGGACAATTTCATGGGATATATGTTGCAGTGTATAAACTAGAAATGTTACCAGTCTATTAATATGTTTTTTCTTCACAGGCAAAGAGAGACAGAAGATTGTTGATGACATGCTCTCAGACAAGCCCAAGAACTCAGCACCTGTCAGTAGTGCCGCCACTTCAGTATTGACAGATCCACGCAGGAACAGACGCTTGTCCTCATCTTCTTCATACCCGACCCTTAAATCATCCTCCAGTATTCAGTCAGATTTCTCCACAAGTATCCAATCACAGTCAAGTTTTGATGCATATGACCCCGAGGCATATGACCCTGAATTGGAATATTCCTTAAGTCAGCCCCCTCCACACCTTCCCACTCAGCCTCCACCTCCGCTGCCTACCCAGCCCATGTATGCCTCCTCAGAGAAGAGTTTTAGCAGCAGTCAGTCAGACCTGGGGTACACGTCGGGTACACCCATGTCTAATTACAGTCATGACGGCTTCAACAAGGGCTTCGATGGGCAGTCTAATACTCCTGGTAGCAGCTTCTATACTGGGAGCAATCACAATCAGTTTGGCATGTCACAAAGTCATGGAAACAGTGGTGCTAATAGTGGATATGGCTTCCAGCAACAGCCACCACCTCCACTTCCTCCACAACCTCCTCCTCATCAACCTCCTCCTCATATACCTTCTCATCCACCTCCTCACCTTCCCTCTCATCCCCCTCCTCATCTGCCACCACATCAGTCTCATGTAGCACCGATTCATCAGAACCAGCATCATCACATGTCATATAATAACAATGAGAATCAGTATTCCTCCAATCAGGACATGGATCGATATCCATCAGATCCACGACATAGGGGAAGCAATCACCATAGAAACAGACAGAACAGTGATGGTGGTCCTAGAGGTGACCACCGCAACCGGGACTGGCGGAGGGATAGGGACCACCGGCATTCTAGAGACTCACGAGATCACAGAGATCGTGGGGATGATCGGATGGGAGAGAGGGATGGGTATAATAGAGATTCGCAGAGAGATAGGTTTAATCGCAGAGACCGCGACAATGATCGGGGCAACAACAGGGAAAGGAATCATCATGATAGGTTTAACAGAGACACGAGAGAAATGAAAAGAGGTGGACCAGGGGGAGGTAAGGACAGAATGGATATGAGGACAGGACCAGGTGGAGGAAAAGACCGCATGGATGGTAGAGGAGAAAGGGACAGTGGTAGATTTCGTCATAGACAAGAATCTTCTGAAAGGAGTATGGAAAGGGAGAAACCTCCACCCCAACCTCCAAAACCCAAAACACCAGAACCAGAACCTGTACAGGAGGAGGAGCCACGCAGCATGAGTTTAGATTCTCGTATTCAGAGCTTGTTGCAAAATGCAATGGGTGAAGGCTTTGGTAGCCCATCATCAGACTCAACTAGTGATTCAAGGAAAAAGGAGACCACTCCTCCACCAACGCGATGGGAGAAACCTGTGTCTGGGCCCCGCACTCCTGAACCAGAGGTCCCACGGGTACCACCCCTTCCTGTGGTAGACCAACCCCCTACTCCTTTTAACCACATGTCACATTTTGGTACACCGCGGGAATCAGGGCCCCACAGTACGCCCGACTTCAGGGATGTTAATAGTGTTCCTGGCAGTGTAAATGGTAACATTAATATGAATGTGCTCCCCCCTTCTTTTCATCCTGCTAATATTCCTGGAATGCCAGATATGTACAATAAACTACAACCATCACAAGATAAAGCAACACCCACACAAGAAGTTGTTCAGGACAATAAAAGTGCATCTGATGATGATGACCGAATGAGTATATCATCAGGTGGAAGTGGGGACCAGAATATCGAGGTGAATCCTTTACTTCATCCCTCTGGTGAAGTACCCAATCAGACAATGGCACCCTTAGTAAATACAAACTTTATGTCGCCAAACACTTCTCAGCCTACAGCTTGGCAGACAGGCTCATACAACTATGGTTTTAATTGTGGTCCGAGTGTAGACATGTCTGGTTACAATGTGTATAACCAAAACTATTACAACCAGTGTATGAATAATTCTCTTAACGTCAGCTCTCAAGGACAAGTTGTAGATCAGTCGGAGGAGGACGAAAAGGTGGAGAAAACATTCGCAGCAGTGTTGGATGGTTGTATTAAGGAATTAAAACAAATAATGCAAAAAGACATGTGTAAAAAGATGGTAGAAAACTCAGCATTTAAGTCATTTGATGGTTGGTGGAACAATGAGGAACAGAGACACAAACAGATGGTAAGTCTTTTTGTAAAGATGCTTTTTATTACTTATATTTCTCCTGGGAGATATTTTCACTTAATATGCGAGGAGAGTCGATCCCAAATTCAAATCCCTCCTGATGATTATCATAAATATTAAGACAGCATCCTTTTAGAGTCGGTTACTGCTTTCTGAGTTTTGCAGAATCCATGTCCCTTATAGCTTGTAACTCACAAGTTGAAAGTCATTTCTAGACCAGCGATTGATAATACATGTTTTCGCAAATATGTCTTAAGTGATAAGTCTGCATTAATAAAGTATTCATGAAGTCTAAGTGATTTAAATATATATGTAGGAATTCATTATAGCTGTACATGCTATAAACAGATTCAGGATACACTGCACCTAAGATAATAATTTTATAAGGCAACAAATGTTAATGAAATCATGTGTTGTATTTTCTCAATTTTGCTTTTATCGTGAAATGGTGTGCGAAAGGCGTTTTACTTGCAGTATACTGCTGGTGTTTGTTCTAAGGAATTTTCCAAAATCAAGAAACTTCAAGGTGGATTTATTTTTATGAAGGTTTTAAAAGCAAAAATATTTCATGTATGTTGTGTATTAGTTCATAAGTCCCAGAACCTAGTAAATTACATGGTATATATTTGGAAAAAAAATTCCTGACATTGTAAATATCACAAACTTTTGAAAAGAGGTTAGAATAATTCATGAAAGTTTCATTTTTAAACTTTTTACAGTACAATGAAATAAATCCTGTATTATTTAACAGCCACAGAAAATATTACCAGAAAAGTTGACAGAGAAACCATCCTCTGTCAAGCCAACAGTGACTGTGGGTAAAAAAGAGGTGAGCTCCACCATCGCCTCTCTGTTTGAACCACAGCACCCCTGGACCAAGGAAGGAGAGATCAACTTCAGCAGCTACTCTGGCGGTATGAGTGGGGGATTCCTTGGTATACGGGGAGGAATGCCTCGTCTACCCTCATTCAAGGTACTTCCGTGTTTAATACAGATCTTATCAATACTGACATTGCCACCATCAGTGAAAAAGGCTTTCTCCATTCAATTACCAAATGGTAAACACTTAACAGATTATTTGATCTGATCCACCTTTCATAATTTATAAAGCAATGTAAGTTAACTTAATAAAATTGATGTGAAATTGAATCTGGACATGTTTGAAATGTCCCAAAATTGATTTTGATGACAAACGTTGCTCTTTGTCATAATGAAATGATTTGTAAAGGTTTTTCTATTCTAAGACATGATACTGTTTTTGGTTTTGATTTTCATACATTGTTTTATGAAGTGTAAGTTTAAAATGTGTTTTTATCTTTACTGTTATAGAGAAAGTTCCGTCCACCATCACCACCTCCTGAAGACGAGGAGAGTAAAGGTGCACATGAAGAGGAGGGAGATGATGAGGCCAAGAGGGAAGATGATGCTGGATCAGGTAATTGCTAGCATTCACCCGGTCAAACCCTAGTTATTCATAGTTTGTTCAAGAGTATATTTGTACTGTTGTTGGTGTAAGAGTAGGTTAAATGATTTTTTTTATATAGGCGTGGTTTTTACAAATGTATGATTTTACCATTATAGTTAAAAGTAAAGAATGGAAACAAGTTAAATTAATAACAAGAAAAACTGTTTTCATCAGAACCTTACTGTCCCTAGGTTAGTGAAATTAGTGGTAATTTTGAATTGGCTTTGTCCATCAGTGGTCTGTCTGTACATTCCATTAAGAAGACTGATACAGTCCATCTTTGGGAAATTATAAGTACTTCTTGTATGGTATTAGCATGCAGTGTGCAGGGTTTTTTCAGATGGTAAATTTGATATACATTTTATGTTTTTGTGTATTGTGTGTCTGATAACTACATCCTGGTGTGAGAGTTATCAATGATTGTGTGTCTGATAATTACTTCCTGGTGTGAGAGTTATCAATGATTGTGTGTCTGATAATTACTTCCTGGTGTGAGAATTATCAATGATTGTGTGTTTGATAATTACTTCCTGGTGTGAGAATTAACAATGATTGTGTCTGGTAACTACATCCTGGTGTGAGAGTTATCAATGATTGTGTGTCTGATAATTACTTCCTGGTGTGAGAATTAACAATGATTGTGTCTGGTAACTACATCCTGGTGTGAGAGTTATCAATGATTGTGTGTCTGATAACTACATCCTGGTGTGAGAGTTACCAATGATTATGTGTCTGATAACTACATCCTGGTGTGAGAGTTATCAATGATTATGTGTCTGATAACTACATCCTGGTGTGAGAGTTATCAATGATTATGTGTCTGATAACTACATCCTGGTGTGAGAATTATCAATGATTGTGTGTCTGATAACTACATCCTGGTGTGAGAATTATCAATGATTGTGTGTCTGATAACTACATCCTGGTGTGAGAGTTATCAATGATTGTGTGTCTGATAACTACATCCTGGTGTGAGAGTTATCAATGATTATGTGTCTGATAACTACATCCTGGTGTGAGAGTTATCAATGATTATGTGTCTGGTAACTACATCCTGGTGTGAGAGTTATCAATGATTGTGTGTCTGATAACAACATCATGGTGTGAGAGTTATCAATGATTGTGTGTCTGATAACTACATCCTGGTGTGAGAGTTATCAATTATTGTGTGTCTGGTAACTACATACTGGTGTGAGAGTGATCAATAATTGTGTGTCTGATAACTACATACTGGTGTGAGAGTTATCAATGATTGTGTCTGGTAACTACATCCTGGTGTGAGAGTTATCAATGATTGTGTGTCTGATAACTACATCCTGGTGTGAGAGTTATCAATGATTATGTGTCTGATAACTACATCCTGGTGTGAGAGTTATCAATGATTGTGTGTCTGATAACTACATCCTGGTGTGAGAGTTATCAATGGTTGTGTGTCTGGTAACTACATCCTGGTGTGAGGGTTATCAATGATGTTGTGTCTGATAACTACATACTGGTGTGAGAGTTATCAATGATTGTGTGTCTGATAACTACATCCTGGTGTGAGAGTTATCAATGATTGTGTGTCTGATAACTACATCCTGGTGTGAGAGTTATCAATGATTATGTGTCTGATAACTACATCCTGGTGTGAGAGTTATCAATGATTATGTGTCTGATAACTACATCCTGGTGTGAGAATTATCAATGATTGTGTGTCTGATAACTACATCCTGGTGTGAGAATTATCAATGATTGTGTGTCTGATAACTACATCCTGGTGTGAGAGTTATCAATGATTGTGTGTCTGATAACTACATCCTGGTGTGAGAGTTATCAATGATTGTGTGTCTGATAACTACATCCTGGTGTGAGAGTTATCAATGATTGTGTGTCTGATAACTACATCCTGGTGTGAGAGTTATCAATGATTGTGTGTCTGATAACTACATCCTGGTGTGAGAGTTATCAATGATTTTGTGTCTGATAACTACATACTGGTGTGAGAGTTATCAATGATTGTGTGTCTGATAACTACATCCTGGTGTGAGAGTTATCAATGATTATGTGTCTGATAACTACATCCTGGTGTGAGAGTTATCAATGATTATGTGTCTGATAACTACATCCTGGTGTGAGAGTTATCAATGATTATGTGTCTGATAACTACATCCTGGTGTGAGAGTTATCAATGATTGTGTGTCTGATAACTACGTCCTGGTGTGAGAGTTATCAATGATTGTGTGTCTGATAACTACGTCCTGGTGTGAGAGTTATCAACAATGTTATGTCTGATAACAACATCCTGGTGTGAGAGTTATCAACAATGTTATGTCTGATAACTACGTCCTGGTGTGAGAGTTATCAACAATGTTATGTCTGATAACAACATCCTGGTGTGAGAGTTATCAATGATTGTGTGTCTGATAACTACATCCTGGTGTGAGAGTTATCAATGATTATGTGTCTGATAACTACATCCTGGTGTGAGAGTTATCAATGATTGTGTGTCTGATAACAACATCCTGGTGTGAGAGTTATCAATGATTGTGTGTCTGATAACAACATACTGGTGTGAGAGTGATCAATAATTGTGTGTCTGATAACTACATCCTGGTGTGAGAGTTATCAATGATTGTGTCTGGTAACTACATCCTGGTGTGAGAGTTATCAATGATTATGTGTCTGATAACTACATCCTGGTGTGAGAGTTATCAATGATAGTGTGTCTGGTAACTACATCCTGGTGTGAGAGTTATCAATGATTGTGTGTCTGATAACTACATCCTGGTGTGAGAGTTATCAATGATTGTGTGTCTGATAACTACATCCTGGTGTGAGAGTTATCAATGATTGTGTGTCTGATAACTACATCCTGGTGTGAGAGTTACCAATGATTATGTGTCTGATAACTACATCCTGGTGTGAGAGTTATCAATGATTGTGTGTCTGATAACAACATCATGGTGTGAGAGTTATCAATGATTATGTGTCTGATAACTACATCCTGGTGTGAGAGTTATCAATGATTGTGTGTCTGATAACAACATCCTGGTGTGAGAGTTATCAATGGTTGTGTGTCTGGTAACTACATCCTTCAGTGTTTTTATTTCTGAGAATTGGCTCCCTAAATAAGGATTATCATTGATGGTGTTTCTGAGAATGAGTTTCGTCTTGTTAAGATTATAAATGAATCTTTCCTAGATGATGAAATAACCTCCAAGAGGGCATCAAGGAAGGCTGTGGTCAGTGATAGCAGTGACGATGAAGATGAGGAAGGTGATGATGATGAAGAAGAAGAGGAAGAGGAGGAGGAAGATGATGGTATGAACTCTAATATATAAGTGCTTTTGCTTTTGGTTTCTGTATGATGACTGACTGACTAGTGAATTGTAATCCCTTTACCAACGTAGCATTTACAAGACTGGACAGTTTCTTATTTCTGTCCATGTATTTAAAACATTTTAGCAGATTGTTGACTGTCAGGCAGCTTTGATGTGTTCTTTCATTGAAATGTCAACAGATGAAGAAGCCAGTGCAGAGAGCAGCGAGGAAGAAAGTGAAGAGGATGAAAGTGAGGCATCAGCATCTGATTCTGATGAGGAAGAAGAAGAGGAGGATGAAGAAGACACCACGATAGATGTAGAAGGGAAGGATGAGGATGATGAAGAGGATCCCATCATAGATGTGACATCTAAAGATGAAGGGTTAGTAGATAATTGCAAATCATTATCAGACAGAAATAGAATGTAAGAGGTCGCTGTAGAAGTCAGTGTCACAAAGATAGACTGTATGTGGACAATGTAAATGTCAGTGTCACAAAGATAGACTGTATGTGGTCGCTGTAGAAGTCAGTGTCACAAAGATAGACTGTATGTGGTCACTGTAAAAGTCAGTGTTGATATCACAAAGATAGACTGTATGTGGTCGCTGTAGAAGTCAGTGTTGATATTACAAAGATAGACTGTATGTGGACAATGTAAATGTCAGTGTTGATATTACAAAGATAGACTGTATGTGGACAATGTAAATGTCAGTGTTGATATTACAAAGATAGACTGTATGTGGACAATGTAAATGTCAGTGTTGATATTACAAAGATAGACTGTATGTGGACAATGTAAATGTCAGTGTTGATAGTACAAAGATAGACTGTATGTGGACAATGTAAAAGTCAGTGTTGATATTACAAAGATAGACTGTATGTGGACACTGTAAATGTCAGTGTTGATATTACAAAGATAGACTGTATGTGGACAATGTAAAAGTCAGTGTTGATATTACAAAGATAGACTGTATGTGGACAATGTAAAAGTCAGTGTTGATATTACAAAGATAGACTGTATGTGGACAATGTAAATGTCAGTGTTGATATTACAAAGATAGACTGTATGTGGACAATGTAAATGTCCGTGTTGATATTACAAAGATAGACTGTATGTGGTTGATGTAAAAGTCAGTGTTGATATTACAAAGATAGACTGTATGTGGACAATGTAAATGTCAGTGTTGATATTACAAAGATAGACTCTATGTGGACAATGTAAATGTCCGTGTTGATATTACAAAGATAGACTGTATGTGGACAATGTAAATGTCAGTGTTGATATTACAAAGATAGACTGTATGTGGACAATGTAAATGTCCGTGTTGATATTACAAAGATAGACTGTATGTGGACAATGTAAATGTCAGTGTTGATATTACAAAGATAGACTGTATGTGGACAATGTAAATGTCCGTGTTGATATTACAAAGATAGACTGTATGTGGTTGATGTAAAAGTCAGTGTTGACATCAAAGATTTTAGAGAGATCTTTTAGAGAGACTTTAAGAGGTCTGTGTACAATGAAATATTGACAGGAGACAAAGATAAACCATTAGAGATTTGTGTAAAATTGATTGTAGACATAGTCTGTCAGAGGTACTTTTCAAAGTATCAGTCTTGACATGGAGGATCCTTTCATGTATATATATAATTCATTAAGATCATTTTGTTTTACAGAGAGGAAGAAGAGGAGGAAGAACTGTCTGTTGGTGAACCAGATAGGATTGAGAAGGAGGAGGAGGGGCAGCAACAGCAGGAGGAGGAGGAAGAAATGGACAAGGAGGATGAAGATGAGGAAATTGACATGTCTCTGTCTGAGCCTGAGGAAAAGTGAGTTGTGGCAGATAAATTCTTCGTCAGTTTTTTGTTCATAATGTTCAATTCTGAGCAGGAATTGACAGCATTTGAAACAGGACCATGAATTGAAACTTCTGAAGTGCATTAGGTTGATTTAGCTGTCAATGAGAAGGTTGATCTGACAGTTCATAATAAAATACATCTTTATATGAAGGCTAGAATAAATTTATGTAAAAAAAATAAATCTTTTTTCAAAATGTGACATACAAAAGAGGATACATTTAATGAAGACATGATGACACTTTCAATATTTCATGTATTTTACAGGGAAGAGAAGGAACCACTAGAATTGCCCCAGCCCTCTGATCGGGTATTACCCACAAAGGAAGATATCTGTGATAAAGACAATGCTGAGAAGGAAGACTCGCAAACTGAAAGTGAAAATGTGAATATTAATAATGCAAAGTCTTCCTTTGATGCGAATCTTGCAATAGCCAAAAATTTAACTAAATCCAATTTCCAGACGTTATTAGATGCATCTGAAATTCTTAGTTTACGAGAACTCGTGCAAAAGCCATCAATTCTGAAAGAGACAGATAAAGTGAAAGAGGAAGTGATTGATGTTGTGGATTCTGAGCCAGATAAAGAGGAAAAGTTTGGATTTCTCGCAGAGCATGATTACTTTGCTCCACCTGTGGTACCATCAGGACAGGATGGAGAGGAGATTGATTCAGATGGGACGGTGTCAGCAGATGAAGAAACATCAACAGTGGAAGTATTCATGGACCATAATTACTGTCTTCCTCCTAAAATACCAGCCAAACTGGAAATGCCAGTGGAAGAAGTGAAGCCGGAACCTGTGAAGGAGATAGTGAAACCCAATGAAGTGAAAACAGAGTTACCTCAGGAAAATAAAAAACCAAAAGCAAAGAGAAAACCTAGAAAACAGAAACAACCCACATTGACAGACATCACAGAAGAAACAATAAACTTAAATAAACAACGAGGTAGTCGAGAGTTAGCAAATCTTCTTGAACCCATTAAACCTATTCCAAAATTTGATCCCAGGAATTTGGATGATGAAAGGAAAGTGTTTTTTGACATGTACACAAGTGGTCTTGATTTAGAGGATATTATGTTCTTGAAAAGGACTTACGAGAATCTTCTACAGTCTGAAGATCCTAATTGTTACTGGATTAATGACATTCTATGGGTGGACCACCCTATTACAAACATACCAGACCCTGTTCCACCCAAAAAGAGACGGAAACTAGAAGACATGCCAAAGATACATTCAACAGGTTTGTAGACTGACATTCAATGTCTAATTTTGTTTTTCTTTTAGGGCTGTAAATGCATTTGTGTTGTCAACTTTTCACTTTTCTTTATCTTGTTAGGGATACTGAGAAGTTTAACTTTAAAGTTTGCTACTCCAATCAAACTTCAAATATAGATACATTGTAGCATGGATGTTAAACCCACCAAATCCTTTACAGGAATGGTAATATATTGGTGTCATTTTGGGACAAAACTTACAGAAATAGCTACAAAATCTTTATGGATTCTTCTTTTCACCTTTGGTTTATAATGATACTGAAACAGGTACTGTGATATATGATTTTTTTTTCCTCACTCCTTTGGAAGAAGAATAATTTTAGGATAAAATTTTAACTACTATGGAAAGTCTTTTGTTAGGAGGGAGTGTAGGTAGATGTAAATCTTAATGTATTTTGCATTAAAAAAAAAAACATTCCATACCAACAAAGTGGAACAACACATGATTATGCATAATTCATGCTTACACAGATATTTAGTAGAGTTGACCAGGTGAAAGCATTGTTGGCCTAATTTGTTTATATCTGTCATTTTCAGGGAGTGCTAGAACTGAAGGTTTCTACAAACTGAGTGTGAAGGACAAAACTGGTAACAGGCTTGATGCCTTCAAGGCAGGCAAAGAGCCTGACTCTAGACTGGTATGTTCATCAATCTCCGTCAGCTTACCACTAGATTGAATAAACAAACTTTAGAAAACTTTGGTGCTGTGATAGCACCTAATATCTGAAAATTAGTTAATTAACCAAAATAAAGCATGGAAACACTGTCAGTTTAATTTACTTGTAGTTGTTTTACCAAAGAAAAACCATGCTTATAATTTATGAATATATTTCTGATATTATTTCATATTGATTCATGGTAATGGTAAAATTTATGAATGTTTCAGGAGAAGAAAGCTCACACTTCCAGGGAAGCTCGACATGAGAATAGAAGGCTTCAAACAACATTTGCTGACCTTGATGTGGGAGACTTGCTTCGTTTCAATCAACTCAAGGTATTTACATGTATATTGTCAAATTACCTACAGGTTCCAATTACCTGTACATAGTGAAGTGAGATACCTGTACTTAAGCAAATTACTTGTACCTAGTCTATTTCAGAAACTGTTTCTTGTCTAATTGATAAAACAAATTCTTAAATGAAATTAAATCAAATGTATATATTCTACTTAATTTCAGTGTTTCATTGAAAAATTTTTGAAAAGAATTATTTGGAATTTTCAGGCATCAAAAAAAAAAAAAAAAAAATAATAATAATTAGCTTTCATTTGTAACTTATAATACAAACATTTGTCATTTTTTTACTTTGATACTACTTTGTTTAGCTCGATTTTGCAAATAATTTCTCAATGTCCTAAAACTTTCCATTACACAGTACCGTAAGAAACAGCTGAGGTTTGCACGCTCTGATATCCACGACTGGGGTCTGTTTGCCTTGGAACCCATTGCAGCGGATGAGATGGTGATTGAGTATGTAGGACAAGGTGTGCGACAGTCAGTAGCAGACCTCCGGGAGAAGAAATACGAAGCTGATGGTATTGGCAGCAGTTACATGTTTAGGGTGGACGCTGAGACTATCATTGATGCTACCAAGTCTGGCAACCTGGCTCGTTTTATCAACCACTGTTGTAATGTAAGTATGGATGTCACTGTTGTGATGTAAGTATAGATGTCAGTGTTGTGATATAAGTATGGATGTCAATGTTGTGATGTAAGTATGGATGTCACTGTTGTGATATAAGTATGGATGTCACTGTTGTGATATAAGTATGGATGTCACTGTTGTGATGTAAGTATGGATGTCACTGTTGTGATATAAGTATGGATGTCACTGTTGTGATATAAGTATGGATGTCAATGTTGTGATGTAAGTATGGATGTCACTGTTGTGATGTAAGTATGGATGTCACTGTTGTGATGTAAGTATGGATGTCACTGTTGGATATCACTGTTGTGATATAAGTATAGATGTCACTGTTGTGATGTAAGTATGGATGTCACTGTTGTGATGTAAGTATGGATGTCACTGTTGGATATCACTGTTGTGATATAAGTATGGATGTCACTGTTGTGATGTAAGTATGGATGTCACTGTTGTGATGTAAGTATGGATGTCACTGTTGTGATATAAGTATGGATGTCACTGTTGTGATGTAAGTATGGATGTCACTGTTGGATATCACTGTTGTGATATAAGTATGGATGTCACTGTTGTGATGTAAGTATAGATGTCACTGTTGTGATGTAAGTATGGATGTCAGTGTTGTGATGTAAGTATGGATATCACTGTTGTGATGTAAGTATGGATGTCACTGTTGTGATGTAAGTATGGATGTCACTGTTGTGATGTAAGTATGGATGTCACTGTTGTGATATAAGTATGGATGTCACTGTTGTGATGTAAGTATGGATGTCACTGTTGTGATGTAAGTATGGATGTCACTGTTGGATATCACTGTTGTGATATAAGTATGGATGTCACTGTTGTGATGTAAGTATAGATGTCACTGTTATGATGTAAGTATGGATGTCACTGTTGTGATGTAAGTATGGATGTCACTGTTGTGATATAAGTATGGATGTCACTGTTGTGATGTAAGTATGGATGTCACTGTTGTGATATAAGTATGGATGTCACTGTTGTGATGTAAGTATGGATGCCACTGTTGTGATGTAAGTATGGATGTCAGTGTTGTGATGTAAGTATGGATGTCACTGTTGTGATATAAGTATGGATGTCACTGTTGTGATGTAAGTATAGATGTCAGTGTTGTGATACAAGTATGGATGTCACTGTTGTGATGTAAGTATGGATGCCACTGTTGTGATGTAAGTATGGATGTCAGTGTTGTGATGTAAGTATGGATGTCACTGTTGTGATGTAAGTATGGATGTCACTGTTGTGATATAAGTATGGATGTCACTGTTGTGATATAAGTATGGATGTCACTGTTGTGATGTAAGTATGGATGTCACTGTTGTGATGTAAGTATGGATGTCACTGTTGTGATGTAAGTATGGATGTCACTGTTGTGATGTAAGTATGGATGTCACTGTTGTGATGTAAGTATGGATGTCACTGTTGTGATATCACTGTTGTGATATCAGTGTTGTGATACAAGTATGGATGTATGGATGTCACTGTTGTGATGTAAGTATAGATGTCACTGTTTTGATGTAAGTATGGATGTCACTGTTGTGATGTAAGTATGGATGTCACTGTTGGATATCACTGTTGTGATATAAGTATGGATGTCACTGTTGTGATGTAAGTATGGATGTCACTGTTGTGATGTAAGTATGGATGTCACTGTTGTGATGTAAGTATGGATGTCACTGTTGTGATATAAGTATGGATGTCACTGTTGTGATGTAAGTATGGATGTCACTGTTGTGATGTAAATATGGATGTCACTGTTGGATATCACTGTTGTGATATAAGTATGGATGTCACTGTTGTGATGTAAGTATAGATGTCACTGTTATGATGTAAGTATGGATGTCACTGTTGTGATGTATAATGTCACTGTTGTGATGTCACTGTTGTGATATAATGTATGTTGTGATATAAGTCACTGTTGTGATGTAAGTATGGATGTCACTGTTGTGATGTAGCTGTAACAACTTTGATGTCATGGTTGGATGCTGTCACTAATACATCCCATGGATACAGTGAAGTGATTTTATTGTGATATTGACTAATTGTTTTCTTTAAATGGTATTAACAGAATATCAATATCTCATATTCATGAAACACTAACAAAACTTTATGAGACTATAGATAATTTTTTCTTGAATTTTTTATTAAAATGTGTAAACATTACTAGAGGTTTGCTGGTTATCAGAAAATACGTGTGAGTGACCTGTAATAGAAGCAAGGCAATGCCCATTACATTTTGGCTATGCTTGACTGAATCGGTAAATGAATGGATAACAGGTCTGTAGTTAAATCAGAGTGAGTAAAGAACACCTAGAGGTCACTTTGCAACCTATACTTGGGAGTTTGATATTGGGGGGGTTTAATGGTATGTTCAGTGAATACATTTATATGTTAGCTTCAGAACTGTGATAAGTAACTGATTGTTTTTATTTTGTAGCCAAACTGTTATGCTAAGGTGATCACAGTGGAAAGTCAGAAGAAAATTGTGATTTATTCCAAGAGAGACATTGATGTCAATGAGGAAATAACATATGACTACAAGTTTCCCATTGAGGATGAGAAGATTCCATGTTTATGTGGGGCGACATCCTGTCGTGGTACACTCAATTAAGGAGGATTTTATGTTGTTAATTGGTCACATAAAGGGGAATTCATCGAAGTGTCAGCAATGATCACCAGAACATATACATCCCCAGAACATATGGTCTATATTTGTCATCAGAAAGTTTCCTACAGATTACCAGAAATGTTTAGATGGAACATTAGAAGTGTAATGAAGAGTTTCAGAAAGATCTCTGTGGATAAAATTCATCATCTCTTTCTTATCTACATGGTAATGTGGAGACTTTTCTGATAAATTCTTCATATGGCACTGCTACTAGTTCAGATCTATGTAATTTATTGTAGGGACTTATTGTCAGGAAGACTTTGCTGGAGGTATGTTAATCAGGGAAATCCACATTCATAGCTTCTAAGACTTCAGCTGAATCAACAATGTCAAAGAAAAGATTTCTGCTTTTTTAGTGAAAATTAAATACTTGTAGATGGGATGTTCAAGAAAAACTAAATTTGTGTTGAAAAATCTGCAGGAAAAAATAGAAATACACCTGTTTAAGATACATTAGAATAGAGGTATTGTTTGGACAGGTAACAACTCTCGATAGAGTTAAAAGATATGTGACCTAATTAGAGTGCTTCAGATATTGTTCTCCTGCGTGGTAGACTTACACTTTGATCTCACTACAGCCAGTGTCGTGCCAGATAAACATTACTACGACAGGCTACAGCATTCAGGGAGCAGCTATGGACTGCAGATTCTTTTGTCTGTGTATCTTCAAGAATTATTTGCAAATTTTCACATTTAATCTGATTTAATATATGTATAAACAGTCAGATTTTTACTACCAAGATGAAGATTTTCTTGTCTAATGAGATGTGAGGGGTGGTTTTTGTGTCGTTTTGTTTTGTTATGAATAGTATATAGCTTAAGAGATGAAATCAAGTGCTGTTGTGTGTGTGTGTGTGATTGAAACAACTGTATAATTCTAACTCATATTATTTGAAATGTAATCCTTATCTTCATTTTTCAACAAAACCTGGCATGACCTTGGATTGTTAAACCAGGGTCCCTAAACATAGCATTTAGAGCAATCGAAAAGATTGTAAAACAGACCAGGACTATTATACATGCTGTACTGAAAACACTAGTGCTTCCTTGTTCCTTATACACTGAAGTAGTCTATAAAGACACTAAAGTTTTATGTTGTAGTTATAATAATGTTAAGGCAATGAAACACCTTGCTTCCAGATTTATGTTTCTGCTATGAAATCCACATCATCTACCCATCAAATTAGCTTCTTTTATGTCAATGATTTTATTATTTGTCTTTCTAAGTATAGCGTTTTTGTTTTTTGTTGTAAATAATGTTTACAGTGTTAATACTGTAGAGGTATTATGTTAGTGCTTCACTAATATTTTCCTGATTTTGATATGGTTTTTGTAAATGCTCTGTCATTGTTAGCATGCATATGAATAGGGTACACCTCTGTCATGGGAAAAACTTGTAATATAGGCTGCTATTACTCAGTGATATATCATCTTTTTCACAGAAAAACTTGAAATAAAGACTGCTTTTACTCGGGCTATATCTCATCTTTGTCATGGAAAAACTTGTAATACATGCAAGATTTTTTACTCCCAATGTTATCATGTATTGTCATTAAGCTTATAATTATGGCTGATATTACTCGGGCGATATCTCATCTCTGTCTTTGACTTAAGTATGACTGATATTACTCGGGCAATATCTCATCTGTTTTTTTTTTAATTAATTATGACTGATATTACTCGGGCGATATCTCATCTCTGTCTTTGACTTAACTATGACTGATATTACCTGGGCGATATCTCATCTCTGTCTTTGACTTAACTATGACTGATATTACTCGGGCGATATCTCATCTCTGTCTTTGACTTAACTATGACTGATATTACTCGGGCGATATCTCATCTCTGTCTTTGACTTAACTATGACTGATATTACTCGGGGGATATCTCATCTCTGTCTTTGACTTAATTATGACTGATATTACTCGGGTGATATCTCATCTCTGTCATTGACTTAACTATGACTGATATTACTCGGGCGATATCTCATCTCTGTCTTTGACTTAACTATGACTGATATTACTCGTCTTTGGCGATATTTGACTCATCTCTGTCTTTGACTTAACTATGACTGATATTTCTCGGGCGATCTCTGTCTTTGACTTAACTATGTCTGACTGATATTACTCGGGCGATATCTCATCTCTGTCTTTGACTTAACTATGACTGATATTACTCGGGCGATATCTCATCTCTGTCTTTGACTTAACTATGACTGATATTACTCGGGCGATATCTCATCTCTGTCTTTGACTTAACTATGACTGATATTACTCGGGCGATATCTCATCTCTGTCTTTGACTTAACTATGACTGATATTACTCGGGGGATATCTCATCTCTGTCTTTGACTTAACTATGACTGATATTACTCGGACGATATCTCATCTCTGTTATTGACTTAACTATGACTGATATTACTCGGGCGATATCTCATCTCTGTCTTTGACTTAACTATGACTGATATTACTTGGGTGATATCTCATCTCTGTCATTGACTTAACTATGACTGATATTACTTGGGTGATATCTCATCTCTGTCATTGACTTAACTATGACTGATATTACTCGAGAGATATCTCATCTCTGTCATTGACATGCTTATAATTAAGGCATATCTCAATCGAGAGTTATCTCATGACTGGTTTTGACATGCTTGTGATAAAGGCTGCTCATTCTCTGTCATGACATCATCTCGGCCATTAACATGCTTGTGTGCACTCTCTTATCAACCGGATTTAACTTGTGGTTTTGTTCTCTTAGCCTTTACATTGCTGTTTCATTTACAAGAACCTGTACACTACTTAAAATAACTAGATAATCAAAGTAGAATGGGTAGACACAAGCATGTTCTGATTGATGTATGCCTTACGTATAAATGATTTATTTTTACACTGGTTGAAGATTAATAAGTGCTTGTTAGTTCAGGTTGGTCATCATCATAAAATTCAGCTTCAACAAAAAGTGTTTCTCATGTTGATATTGACATTACCACCCTACACAACAATAGTTGTTGTCCATAAGTGATCAAGGAATACAAAGCTTCTTAAGACTGGCTCTATGTGAAAACTTAACTCTCCCATATAACCTTTAACCTTATGAAGGATCCTTGTGTATCTGGTGTCAGATGTAAGCCAGGGTTTTGACTAAGGTTTGTGAATCCTGGCTGGTTATGATATTGTATTGTGTTGTCTATTCAGACATGTCAGATTTGAACTGTGAAAAATTTCTAGTTATTTTGTATTTGTAGCAGAAAATTGCTTTTGTGTTTTTCATCTTTGTTGAGCAATTTTTATATTTGCTGAATGTGTTCAAAATTTTATTGGCTTGTGTTAAAATACTGTTTGTAAATATTAGATAATTTGGTTAAATTCATTCTATTTAATACAATAGTCAAGTGCAATTGACAACGTAGTTATCTTACATTTGTACATAGTCAACATTGATAGTGCTATGTACAGAGTAAACCTGATAGATCCATTTGTATATAATATATAATTTAGTAAATGTAAAGTACCAGGTGAAAGTGATTACTGTGAGTACCAAATAAATACATTTTAATACAAGGTCACTGTGTTCTTGTGCATTTTAATACTACACTGCCATCAAAGTGATGAAAGTTTAGGTCATCTGACACTAGGGGTCATGATGACCTATCGCCATCCTGCTTTGTCCGTTGTCATGTGCTGTTGGTCATGCGTAAACTTACATTTAAACTTCTTCTAAAGTTCAGCCAGTGGGATTGAGCTCCAACTTGCATGAAATGATCCTTGGATAGTCCTGACCAAGTGTTGTTATTTTCCAGGGTGGTCTGAAATCAGAGATGGCTGCCATCTTGAAAAACATTTTAAACTTCTCCTGTTCCACTGGTGCCATTGAGCTAAAAGAAATGATATGGAAAGGTAGCCAACAAAGTGTTGTTATTTTTCGACCTTGTCAAAACTTTGATACGGCAGTCAGGAAGGCCATTTAGTAACATGATTGCGCAATCATCGTTTTCCTGTGCAACACCTATTTCAAACTTCTTCTCCAGTTTCACCAGTTGGATTGAGCTCCAACTTTACTGTCAAAGAATAGGTAACACTTGTTACACAGGCTGTCCAGCGTCCCTAAAATGCCTAAAAAATCCTAATTTTTTTCAGTTTTGCTGAAATTCCTAAAAAAAGTGAAAAATTCAAAGGGAATTCCTAAAAAAGCCCTAATTTTTCACTTCAGTTCCTACTTTTTTATATTTCATACAATTTACTGAAAATGTTTTCATTAAATTCATACTTAAAATGTATTTTAATGTAGTCTATAATTCTAATTCAGGGTAGACAATGAATGGTTGTGACTAAGTGACAGAGGTGTTATTCTTAAGGTCACAGCCAACAGCAGTTGGGACACTGAAACCCTGGAAGACACCTTTCCTGCAATTAAGGCATTGTATGTTAGTTTCTATTTTGTCAAATTTGCAAAGGTAAGTCAGTTTAATGCTTTCATACTCCCTATTCTAGTTACAAAATTCCTAATTTTAGCCCTAAATTTGCCCTAAAATTTTGTAATTTCAGCCCTAAATTTAACCCTAATTTTTTGTCAAGAAGTGCTGGACAGCCTGGTTACATTTACCTACTTCTCACCTACTTCTTACCTACTACTACACCAAAATAGAAAATAACAAGAGGCCCATGGGCCTTAACGGTCATCTGACAAAAAGCAAGCCAAACTCTAACAACAGTGAGTCTGCTGTTAAAACAGTGGGCTTTATTCATTTGAATAAACTTGGTAGCCCTTCCTCCCAGCATCCTACAGGCCCAATATCAGCACTCTGAGCCTTTTGGTTACTGAGAAGAAGTCGTTTACAGATTTTAACATATTTGAACCCTGTGATCTTGGAAGTGGGTCAAGGTCATTCACTTGAACACATTTGGTAACACTTCCTCAAAGCATCGTACAGGCCCAATATCAGCACTCTAATCATTTTGGTTGTTGAGAAGTCATTTGCATATTTTAACATATTTAACCCCTGTGACCTTGAAAGTGGGTCAAGGTCATTCATTTAAATAAATTTAGTAGCATGTCATCCCAGCATCCTACAAGTCAATTATTAGCACTCTTGGACTTTTGCTTATTGAAGAGAAGTTGTTTGTATATTTTAACATATTTGACCCCTGTGACCTAGAAAGTGGGTCAAGGTCATTCATTTGAACAAACTTGGTAGCATGTCATCCATGCATCCTACAGGTCCATTATCAGCACTCTTGGACTTTTGCTTATTGAGAAGAAGTCGTTTGTATATTTTAATATATTTGACCCCTGTGACCTTGAAAGTGGGTCAAGGTCATTCATTTGAACAAACTTGGTAGCCCTTTATCCCAGCATGCTACAGACCCATTATCAGCATTCTGAGCCTTTTGCTTATTGAGAAGAAGTTGTTTGTATATTTTAACGTATTTGACCCCTGAGACCTTGAAAGTGGGTCAAGGTCATTCATTTGAACAAACTTGGTAGCCCTTCATCCCAGCATGCTATAGACCCAATATCAGCACTCATGGACTTTTGCTTATTGAGAAAAAGTTGTTTGTATATTTTAACGTATTTGACACCTGTGACCTTGAAAGTGGGTCAAGGTCATTAATTTGAACAAACTCCATGCCAGCATGCTATGGGCCAAGTATTAGCCCCCAAGGCCTTCTAGTATTTGGAAAGAAGTTTTTTGAATGAAAAGTTTACGGACGACGCACGGCGGCCAGCACACGGCGGACGATGACGGACGAAGCACGATGGCTATACCCTTCGGGTCAGATGACCTAAAAACCCTTCTCCCTGTTGAAACTTTTGTAGTCAGATGACCGTTAAGGCCTGTGGGCCTATAGTTTTTTCTTTTGGTCCTTTTGTCCACTCAAATCAATTTGAGACCAACTTTGGTACATTTGTTTATAGCATGACTGAAGTTTGGTTACAGCAATCATGACAAAGATGACCTAAAATCCAAGATCAAAGGTCAGATTGCTTCATGTTATTGCCAGGTGTTCTAGTTAGAGGTGTACAGTTATATCTAGGCAGTGTATTTGATGCTGTATAACTATAATAAATACTAATGGTTATACTGTAGTGTTGTTAATTACATTATAGTTCTTCAACACTTCCACTGATTTCATGAAATTCACACATCTTTATGTGCGTCACTCAATAGGAAAAACAGCAAGTCTGCACAAATTGTCAAAAAGGGAATTCAATACTCTATGTACTTTAAGCTTTTTTTTAACATTTATTATTTATTTTTAATTATTTTGCTATTTTACATGATTAGATATGATTGGGAAAAGAAAAAAGAAAAAAAACCCATTTATTTCATGAACCACACAGAAACAAAATCACTTTCATGTTTTTGCTTCAAGCTTCAGTAACAACATGAAAATTAGTTTGCTAAATCTGGGCTTGTAATGATCAACAAGCCTAGGTAAATGGGAGAAGTTATAGACAAGAAAAGCCTGTAGTGATAGTGTTATAAGAATTTATTCACATAGATAGGAATGGTGCCTAATCAGCACTGTAGACGGTGGTACAGCCATGAGTAACCAAGGAAACACTCGTATCACAGTCTCTAGTACTTCGTACCACACATCATAACACCTAGTAGTTTATACATTTCTTGTAATAATGCAAAAACCAAACTCTCAAAATTAAAATCACAGGACATCATAATAAATTATTGTATGCTTCGGATTATATATATAGTCGTGTATATATGTAATGCATTTCCGGCCTCTCATCAATTCAAATGTTCTATACTGCCAGGATCTGTGTACAGCTATTGTTGTAGGCCTCTAACACAATGACCATCAGCTAGCTTCTGTCACAAACAAGTAAAACACAGGAAAGTGATGGGCTTGCACAATCTTTGAAATAATTGGAATCAGGTTTTATCATGTTGAAATACCTTGAAAGTGCAAGCTAAAGAAAAGTTGGGACTTGTGAGGTAGATAACGTGGACGAACTAAAAACAACACAAACTTTGCTACAAAACAATCTGATACT